GACACATAAAAGTTCTAATGGAATCCAATCAGAAATTGTTCTACAAATACAAACGGCATTTCTTGTACTTACAGCGTTGTTTTCCCAAGATTTTCGTTATGGTTGTGAGATTTTATTTCATCTCGACAACTTTAATTAGATTCTTAAAGTAAACTTGTTAGCCTCGTTTAGGTACGATGAAATAAAATGAGCATTCCAAAAGCTACTTCCACAATGTGGTCCGACCAGTTTTATGTGCAACAGATAAAACGATTCATTCTCATTATTTAAGCGTGAAATAAATCTTTTTCATAATCCCCCGATGCGGATCATTTGTGGATCAGTTCCATTGCAATTTTACGTTACGTTTCTCTTAAAATATAAGGCGAAAGTCAGACAACAACATCAATAGCTTATTCAAATTTGTTTTATCGGTGTTTGAAAAAACTAGCGGGTGGGAAAGGAAACCACTTGAAACAATCGCGGTGAATTACTAGGTACTCTCCATTTCCATTGACTGTGTGTTATTATCACAACGATCGTATTTGATTTGTGCCGTTTTCTCTACGCACCGGTGCAGACTAATACTGAAGAAAGTACAAGGGAGGAAGGACGGTGTGATCATTGGCTCTATAATCAAGATTCCGTACCGGTGCGGAACATAAAAGTTACAACTGAACTCGCTTAACGTTTATCTAGAATTACCTTCAATTGTCGTCTCGTCTAGTGGGTTCTTAAGTACTCGTTGCGGAACGTTTATTGTACCAATATGCTATATGAAGAAGACACGAATGAATCGCGTCAACTTCATATTTTATTCTCGTAAGGTAAAAAGCGAATAAGCGGTATCTGATGTGGCTCGGTAACCAGCCGCCATCGCCAATGAGTGATGTGCTCCTTTCGCGGGTGGTGAGCAACGAGCCGTGATCCGCTAGAGATACAGCCACGGTCTGTTGGCATAACCTTGGCCGTATCCCGCATATACCCCGACAGATCAGGGTGACATCATCATCGAAAGAATTGTTCTAATGGTCCGTGTGAGGCCAAGGCCGGATTTTCGATCGATGCTAATATTACACAGCGGAATAATAAAAAGGAAAGTAAGGTTGATGACCCCAACGTGGACGCTTACAGACAGTAGTAGACTGATGGATTTGTCCGGATTCTTTTTTTAGCTGCCTTAATGTGGTGTGCTGAACCAGTTTAAAGATTTTGGTAATACCAGAGAGCCGAACTAAAGCAATACCGGTCAATGAGAAACGGTCTAGTAATAATAAAGATTTCGTTATCCACTCACGAACACTAGAGTAGGTATTTTTTGCACTAGTCTAGTAATTTTAATGCGCACGTATACATTCTAATGGAACTTGTTGAGTAAAACTTTCTAGTGCTTTTATTTTTTCGAAAATTACCGTCTATCCATCAATTTCCTGCACATTTAGAGGTACTAACTACCAAGTGAATCTCAATAATGTCAGTAAATCTAAATAATGTACTTAATACGTTTCTGGCATTTGTGTCAACTAAAAATGAGTAACCAAAAAGAAATAGAATTACATTGAATGCATAAGTCATATCATATCGCAAACAAAGTTATCAATGGCATCGATTCATCGCATCGCGCGGATTGTGGTAGATTAGAGTCACACCTCGATAAAGTATAACGCATCAACAACTCATTAACGGCGGCATTCCAAACGCATAACGTTATCATTCATCTTTATGCTTAACTGTTCCTAACAACCGAGCCGAGGTCTTACCGAGACGGCGACGGAATTGCTGGGTCCGACCCCTGCTTCAGCAACGGAGTGCTGTCCCTCGGGTACGCTGAGAAAACGGCGGAGGGTGCCATATCCAGACGCTGATGCCACCATGGCTACCATAGTTAATTCACAATCACAGCACAGTAACCACTGGTTCTCCTTGTGACATCACTCGCGCGGGCGTGTTCGATAAGTTCGCGGGTAACGCGCGCACGGCGACCTGCGCGCGCGACGCGTTTCAACTGCACGCCCAACTCAGCGTCGCGCTCGCGCCCCCTACCACGAGACCGAAAGCCGACAACTTCGGACCAACTTAGATAAGCGCGCTAGTTTTGTTTACACTTCCGTCCTAAGCTCAAGGTGTTTTCTAAGTTCTGTATATTTTTCAATCTTATTCTATTTTCGTTTATCAGATATATCATGTATGATACAACATTGTTAAGTACTTTTATGAGGTATTACCTAGTCCATATCTTATCAAAGCAAAGGACAAGACTAAGTTAAGTAAGTAAATTTAAACAAACAGCACTAGAATTATTTTACCAAAGTCGAATAAAACTTGCGTAGCACAGCAGTAGGTATTCAACATTGGGAACGCCAGTGGAAAAAAGAACAGTAATGGTGTATGACAGTCAGGAGTGACAAATTTTATTACCTTGGTGACAGAATTTTTCTAATAACAATTTATGATTATTTTAAAACTAATGCTACCCCACTAGCACACTAACAAAAACCACATTTAAAATTTCAAGTTATTTGTCAACAAAAAATGTTGACCTTTCATAAAGAATGTCAAACTACATATTACATGAAAGCCGACTTAGCACACAGTATTTAAAGTGACATATTTTCTCTTTGCTTATATTTTGTACATTGACAATGCAACTAACTCCAAGAAAGTATACTGTCAAAATAAAATACAGAAGAACTTTGAACACATTATATTCCCAGAAAGGGCAGACTGAAAATATTTTAAAACTTTTCATTAAATATTTAACTGAAAAAGTCTGTTTTACATTGAGAGTTTATCTCGAGAATAATTTAAAATGTTTTTCATGTGAAATCTATTCAAATACATGTCTGCGACAAGTATAGCATTTAGCAGTGTTGTAAAAAATTACACCACAAGGAAGAAATTTACTGTTAAACAAAGAGCATCAATTCACATTCTAGGTATAATTACATTTTATGATAGAATTAAAAAACCAATATCACTGACCGAGTTGGATGTTTAATGCGGTATTCAATACACCCAACTTATGCATGCCATCAATATTATCACCAACTTTAAGTATACATTTTATAATTAAAATGAAACAAGACAGTGAGTTTTGTTAGATGTTAAACAGTTTAAAAGTAATTAACTAAACCAATGGCATGTGTTTACTCTTCTTTGATTTGAGAATTGTCCTATAACAATTTTCATACAAAAGATACTTGTCAAAACACTGCATAACACTTCAATCAATGATTAGTGTGACTCATAAACTTGGCAGTTAGATGTTGAGTCACAAAACTAAGGTTGGTTAAAAAAAAACTTCAAAACTTAATGAAATAAAACAAACAACTGTACTTGTCTTATTCATAATTTTAAGAATTGCAGAAATTTTACATTTCATTGACAGATCATGTAAATCAAGGTCTTAATTAAGTGCAAGTTGCTATAAATATTCATGTTAAATTGCTGTATACAATAAAAACTGTTATGTATTAATAAAATAGAAAGCGTAATACAGTATATTGTTCTTGTGGAATATCAACACAAAAACATGAGTTTTGTAACTATAGAGGTTGGATCACACCATTTATTTTACTTTTTACTAAATAGATATCATGTGTGACATTATTTTGCTGGATAATTTTGTTTTGCTAACACATAAATATACTTTGTAAGGGAGAGTGGTTCAACCCCAGAATATAAAAATTCAAGAACATTCTATTACTACTGAGACAACAGAATATAAAAGGAGCAACACAAAGACTCACACATACATAATTGTGTGTGATATGACATATAAGGCTCATAACAATGTTCTAATGTCAATAATTTATTCAGTTAGTGTGGGCAGCCACCTCCAGCGCCCACTGCTTGCCTTGATACGCTTAGTTCTACACTATCATGTCCACGAAGTTTAATAAAACCATACATTTTGAGGCAATATATACAAATATTTACTGTTTAAATTCTTCAGAAAACATTACCAAATCCAAAACATGCTTGTCCAGACTTCACATTTTACTATACAATTGGTTGCAATTGGTTGGAACATTCCAATGCAAATTTCACAAGCACCAAGGCGATATGAGTAAGCTAAAGGTGAAATTATTAAAAACCGGCAATTATCCGAGTAGGACTCACCTGTTTTGTGTCCACACAGTCAGTGGCCTCCATGTTGGCATGTGATCTCTCCTGCCTCTCCATGACTTAGGAAACATCAGAATCTCTTATACCATTTACAAGGTGTTATAAAAGCACACAATAGAATACTAAACATAACAATCGCGATGGGCTCAACAATTTTTAACGAAACAATGTCAGCGATTGCACTTAACACGTACTGCACTCTGTGTCCGTTACACCTAATAGATCTCGATTTGACAAGCGCAGTCACTGTTTTAAACACATTTTAACCATTTCAACATAATCACAATGCTTCAGACTTGATTTTTTTTACTAATAAATGAATAATACAGTTGATCACCATCTTAAAAATTTTCACACATTCCGTCATCGAGAGGCCGACTGACGGTCGCTGCCCTACAGGAAGTTTCATTATATGCATACAGACTTTAAAATGTCATTCAGAGATTGAAAATGATTTAATTGTAAGTAATCAAAGTTTAGAACAACTTTTAGATTTATACCATATAAAACCTTGTAAAGTTCTTGAAGTCTTATTAAATTGGATTCTTTTTAATATAATTAGTAAATTGTTCGAAAATTGAAATATTTCTTATTAAACACGCCCGTAGAATGAAACGTCTAAGGATAAAGTTTGATCCGCCATCTAAGGGCTTATTTTGGTACTAAAAGACTCATTTGAATTTTAGAAATACTGATCTTTTTCGTTTAGATTGTTAAATAAATAACAAAATAAAACTGATAATTTTACTAGTTTTCTTTCATGCGCAATCAAAATATTATCTAGGGAAACCATTTCCTTGTAAATACGGTAAATGAACCATACAAATTGATAATTTGAAATCCAAGAGATAACACACTTTTCTAACGAATGTAATAACTAAACGTAATATTGTGATTTGTCAAATCGTTATTGACAGTTGTTTAAGGTTATGATTTATAAATAAAAAGTTTTATTTTCTTGTATTTCGACTATGCCGCGAGACAAAAGTCGCTACAGGGATAGACGAAGTTCCTCATACAGTTCTGAGTCGTCTTACGATCGAAAACGATCTAAAAGTAAACATAAGCGCAGGTCAAGATCGAGAGATCGATCGGAATCAAGTAGCCACAAAAGAAAACGGTCTACTTCGCGATCCAAACATAAAAGAAGAAGTTACAGTAGAAGTCTCTCCAGGGACAGATACGAGTCGAAGTCTAGAAGACGATCTTCTTCAAGATCTCGGTCAAAGCGAGATCGGTCGCGATCGTTGTCCAGTAGTCGTAGTAAATCAAAGTACAGCAAGAAAAAATCAAAGAGGTCGCGTTCTTCTAGCAGTCGTAGTGCCCGGAGTAGCTCTTTTGATATTGGTAAGTCTATATTTTATGGTATACCGTGATTTAAAGTTGCAAATTAAAAATACTGAGTGTTAAATACTGTGAGCATTCCACTACCTACATTACCTACCAGTAGTTACACTAAAATTTTTTTCATTATTCACATAATTATGCAATATACCTTTTACAGAGCGCTTACCACAAATAAAGAAGGTAAATCTAGATGACACAGAAGCTAAATTGGAGAAGGCAATCAAAGCAGCAGCTGCAGTAGGTTTGACTATGACCAAGATACCTACCTATGAGTATAAGGAGGTTGAAATCAAGGAGGATATGCCAACCATACATGACAGAACCCTCTTGGCAGAGTTGAACAGTGACTCATTTGTTCCAAAATCTTTTACATCTTCAAAAAATAAAAAACAGTCACAAAATATTGTCATAGACCTAAACTCGCAGACTGTTACTGTACCTGATACAGATATAAAGGTTTCTAGTGATGACTCTATTATTAATTTTGATGTAAGTACCATGTTTTATGATATTTTTATAATTTTAACCAACTTCCAAAAAGGAGGATGGTTCTCAATTCGACTGTATATATGTTTTTTTTCCATATCTTGAATTATTATTGTTTTTCCTTTCATTCATTAATGGTTTATTCAAGATAAAAATGATTATTATTCAATTCAAACCTGTAGTTTTTTGCATTGCAAACAATGACTTACACAACAAAAGTGACATAAATGAGTTGAGCAAAGACTTACTAGTTTCAAGGCACATTGGGCCTCTTATTCATGAGCAGCATGTAAGCTTGTTTCAATTAAATCACAAATCTCTTTTTTCAATAAATGTTGTATATCCTAATCTCACCATATTCATTATGCAAACCAGTTGTTCTGCACATTCAAACTTACCTATTCTTCAGCTTTATACTAGTATAGATTGCAAAGAGTAAATTATGTCTGGCATGTTGTTTCATATATTCATATCATCATCATCATCACCCTGATTCAGTCCAATGCTGGACATAGGCCAGTGTGAATCATGTAAAAATCAATAATCTTAAGTTATAATAAGTAAGTATAAGCTTAAGTAATTAATAAAGAACAATTACTTAGTTACTTAAATTCTTTTATACTGAAGTTGTATTTCTTAATAAATTCTGATGAATAGTAAAGTATCAGTGTGTAGACATAATTATTAAAATAATTTAGGTACATCAAACATAGGGTTTGATAATTTTAATTGATTTTGTATTTTACTGTTTTTCCTTTACTAAGCTGTGGGACTATGTAAAGCTTTTTCTTATTTTCCTGCAACTTTCTATCATAATGATGAGGATGTATTATATGCCTAAAACATGATTTAATTTCATTTAATTTGATTTCCAGGAAATACCAAGTGAGGTAGAATTAAGAGAGATGTGGATTCAACAACTTTATCAATACAGAAAGAAGATGGTTAAAGGAGAGTAAATTGTAAGAGAAAACATATAGTGTAATTTATTTTAATACCAGTAATATAGTAATAATTCCCACGTTTTGAGGTTTTATTTTAATACGAAACCTGTTGTCATCGATTAAATTTGTTTTTAAAAACATTGCATAAGATTAAGTTTTATTGCCATTACCTATATCTAAAATAAACATCTAAGAACTAAACTGAACCTTAATACCAAGGATTAGGAGTGATTATTACAAAGCATAGTTTGTTCTAACAGTTTATTAAGAATAGTTTGAATAAACTTCACATTATAATAACAAGTAAAGGAGTGCTGCAATTCAGTTATACATGCTTCCTCAGAAGAATCAATAAAAACAAGTAACAACCTAAAGTACTTTTTATTGAACACATTAACATAACCGGTAGCCGCAACTCACAATTTCAAATGCTTTGTAACTACTAAGTCGTCTATATTTACAGTGACGATGGCCCATAGCCCTGAGTCCCCAGTGGTCACTTTCACATGTTGTTCCTCTCTCGCTGAATACGACTGCTGTATGTTCGGGACACCAAGTTCCATGCATCCATATATCTGTCCATGCACATCGCAATACATTTCTGTTCAGAATTGTCTAGGGCTGTTCCAGGTTTATTGATGCACTTTTTGAAACATTTTTCCGACATTTTCGTCAGTAATTCCTGAGCGTTCGCTATGGCAATTTGCTGTTTCACCTGATCCATTAATTCTTCTTTCTGTGCTCCAGAGAGCGAACCAGTTGATAATGTATCCATGGTTATAATATATTAATTAATATTTCGTGGGATGACACAATTTACGGAATTTTGTGATAATGACAGTATAACCTCAAATTTCTCGGTGACAGCGAGTGCAAGTGCTAAAACGACCGAAAGTTTTTTTTTAAAGGTATTTGTGATGTTGCCATTGGAGGTAGAAAAATTACCAAGAATCTTATCCATATAAAAGTCAAAAACCATTTATTCCAATTAGACCTTTACAGACACTTTTGAACGTCACACAAAATTTAAAATAAAAAATAGTGTCAGTCTGTCGGTCAGTCCTCTTAGTGAAGCTATTTGCTCGTTCCAAAGTGTAGACTCCGATGGAGAAGAACGAGCAAGAAACTCCATGGTTACTCTTTTTAAATCAGTTTCACATACAGATTCCTTTTACAAACAGTTGGTTCAATTATGTGAGAACAGTGTAACACTAATATTTATTCAAATATAAAAATAAAGTAACCTTAAGGACAATAGACAGTCCGGAGCTGACCAGTCCCAACTGACGGCGCTCGTTCACGAGCATGACACGTACACCAGCATCGCCCAACTCAACCATATTATAGGGAATTAAGCGATCCAGCGCCCATGCCACCGCCAGTGTGACCTTTCAGTGAGCATGACAACTCCAAGCTGTTATAAGGACCGACATTCTGCTAGTCTAACCAATTATAATAGGTTACAGGGCACTCACATTTACAAATTTATCAAGTTATAGTTATACAATATAATGCAATTTCACTAAAATGAAGAAGTCCCGTTCAAGCAAAATCCATTGGAACGTTATTTATTTTGGTGTAGGTTTGCTATCCTGTGGAGCAGGACCAGCATGTCTCCAAGCATCTTTATCTACAATGTAATCATTCAGTGTGTAGTATGCTTTTCTATATAAAGTTTTCTCTAAACATAATTTAAAATTTCTTTCATTTAATTGTTGTATTTCGCCTGGGATTTTGTTATAACATTTAACACAGAATCCCATGAACGACTTATGTACCTTTGCCAATCTAAATAATGGCTGACATAATCTATCTCTATGTCTAGTTTGATAATTATGTCTATCTGACACCTTATCGAATATTTTTAAGTTTTTCCTAACATACATAATGTTTTCATAAATAAACTGACATGGCACGGTCATAATATTGATCTCTCTAAACTTTTCTCTAAGAGACTCACGACGCTTTAGGTTGTAAATAGCTCTGATGGCACGCTTTTGCAAGACAAAGATAGACTCAATGTCAGCAGCCTGTCCCCACAACAAGATGCCATACGACATAATGCTATGAAAGTAGCTGAAGTACACCAATCTTGCAGTGTCCACATCTGTTAGCTGTCGGATCTTCCAGACAGCAAATGCTGCAGAGCTCAACCGTCCTGCCAGAGATGTGATATGGGGCCCCATTGTAGTTTGTCATCTATGGTTATACCCAGAAAAGTAGTTTGTTTTACAAATTCCAATTTATTACCGTTTAATAATATGTCACATTCGTTACTTTTAACATTTGGCAATCTGAATCGTATACACTTTGTCTTTTTGTCGTTTAGGACTAAATTATTAATTGTAAACCAATTATGAACCTTCGTAATAGCATTATTTACGTCGTCATAATTATCTGTCCGTCTATTTATTTTAAAAATCAACGATGTGTCATCAGCAAATAATACCATTCCGCGTTCACGTTGAAATAAACGAGGTAAATCATTTATGTACACTAAAAACAGGAAAGGACCTAATATCGAGCCCTGTGGTACGCCCATAGATATGCTAGTACCCTGGGAGTTCACTTTATTTACTTGTACTTTGAACTGCCTATCCTGCAGGTATGATTTTAATAAATTGAGAGATACCCCTCGAATGCCATAGTGTTCCAACTTCAGCAACAGTGTCGCGTGTTCAACGCAATCAAAAGCTTTAGACAGGTCACAAAAAATCCCAATAGCGTCGTTTGACTTTTCCTATGAGGCAAAAACATGCTTAAGTAGAGCTACACCGGCGTCAGTTGTGCATCGACCCTTGGTAAACCCATATTGTTGGTCATGAAAGATGGAATTTATGTTAAAGTGTCGTAGCATCTGAGAAAGCATTAGCTTTTCAAACACCTTACTAAGCACTGGTAAAATTAATACCGGCCTATAATTATTGGGATCATTGTCATCGCCAGATTTAAACAACGGAACTACCTTGCTAAGTTTCATCAAATTTGGAAAAACTCCCTGATCTACACTTTTATTAAAAATTAAAGCTAAATAAGGCGCTATAGCTTCTATAAAAGACCTACACACCGCAACAGACATTCCCCATAGATCCTCTGTAGACTTAACTTTTATGTCTTTAAACGCCTTTATTACTGATTGCGGGTATATAAATTTAAAATAAACCACCAAAATATGTGTAGGTCCTCCCATAACTGTCAAATGACTGCACCGAATTGGATAATTTGGTTTTTTTAATGATCCTTATGTTATAGGTCGAAATTTATGTGAAAGAAATATTCAAAACATGCAACAGAAAAATCTGGAAATATCACTGGTGACTTGAATAATAATATTATTATGTAAACAACTTCAAATATAAAAGACTCACTTGAGTCTACAGACTATTTTGTGTAGAGCTATATTTTACACTAAGGTTAAGCAATATTCTGTAATAATAATAAATAAATAACAGCCTTTGTTTGACCTCAAATAATTATCTTAATTTAGGTGAAATATATGCATCAAAATAATTTTGATGCATATATTTCAGCCTTTCTACCGTGTTGCATCAAAATAATTTTGATGCAACACGGTAGAAAGGCTGACATAAATTACGATCGATTCTCCAACAATATTGGGAGCATTTTTCTATTGATATGGTAACCCTGACCGTACTTTTGTCTATGAACTTAGAGATGCTCTAACCGGTGTTATAAAGTTTTTACGGTTTTTTATCCATATAATGTCAAACCTGCCAAGACTTTAAGTCTGACATATTTAGGTTTGACAGCAAACGCTGACAAATGATTGTCAGCAGCCTCTTTAGGGTATATATGTTCTGTGGTCAGCAGTATTGGTAAATAAAAACAAATTTTGTGCGGTCTTTTTTAGATTATTATGGAAAATGAAGAAGATTTAGCTAGTACTTTATCACACGATGAGTTGCTGGAAATCACGCAGTCATCTTTAGCTACGTTACTAAGTAAAGATTCTTACTTGAAAGATCTTCCGAATGATATTATTATTGAAGAAATTGTATCACAGGTAAAACTCTTGGACTATTTACTATGTAACCGTGTGGAAAATGTACTTTCGTGTCAATTTTCTCTAATAAATTTACCTATTCATATGAGAGCCATGCTTCGGCACGAATGGGTCGGCTCGACTGGAGTGATACCTCGGCCTCAAAGAAAACCGACGTGAAACAACCACAGCTTTGTGTTTCGCCGTGTGAGTGAGGTAACCGGAGGCCCAATCCTTCCCCTTCTCCAATCCCACCCCAGTCACTATATCTCCAAATCCCTAATCCCTAATACGTCGGCAACGCACTTGTAACTCCTCCGTTGCGGATGCCCATGGGCGGCGCTGATTGCTTACCATCAGGTAATCCGTCTGATCGTTTGCCGACCCATTACATAAAAATAAAATTCAATTCTGCATCTTCTTTTCATTTTCATTTTCGAAGCATTTCTAGGCTCTGTACCTCTTAGACCTTTATTAGGTTATATAATTCTAGTTGTTTTTACACAGAAAATACACAATCATGTGTATGTCATTCATAAATTTATTTATTTATTTCAGATAGCTGTAGAACATGGTCAATCAATCACAATTTTTATATCAAGAGAGAGTGAGCCAACTTTAAAAGTTATTGTGAGTTTTTAATAGCAAATATGATGATATATGAAATGAAACTTGTTGTAATGTTAATGTTGAGAACATTAGGCTATGGTCTAAGACTAGTTAAATGTTCATATAGGACCTGAATGTTAATCTTTCAATAATGGTAATTTGAGACACAAATTGAAGAACAATAGATGCATGATGTTAAATACACTAAAATTGAAACAAGGATGACATATTCATCCAAATTATGTATCTAATAATATTTATAAATTTGTAATTATCGTTTTACAGATTCCTCAAGATGCATCAGTAAGAGATTTGAAGAAAGCAATTCAGAGACATTTTGAATTGTATCAGAAAAGAGCTGGAATCAAAACAAAGATTTCATGGAAATATATTTGGAAGACTTATACCTTGAACTTTGATAGCATAGTTTTAGATGATAATAATGCGAACATACAAGACTATGGAGTAACAAACAAAGTGACATTAATATTTAAAAAAAGAAAGAAACAAAAGAAGTTTGTCGTATAAGCATTTATTTTATTTTGACATCATTTTCCACCAAACTAGTGACATAGTTATATTTTGTATTTTCAGCATCCCTTATTCTTAAATATAGCAATAATAGCTAAAAATCATATTGTCGATTTGTTTTAAACTACAAAGACAAAACATTGACTATACTTTTTTGATGAATACAGACAACCTCTTCAATCTGAGATAGGTCATAAACATAAAATCATAATTTCTTTGAATAATCTAATGGAAGTTACAGTAACAACTTACGTTGACTATTTTAATGTTTAAACAGAATTCATAATTGTACATAATGTAAATATGAGACAGTAAAATATTATTTTTAAACTAATAGGTATTTATTTCTTTCTTAATTTTCACTTACAAATAAACATTTTGTAGTCTGAAATGTCCATAACACTTTTGAATATCCATTATTATCTTTATATATTACATATACATATATGTAGATAGGTAGGTTAAATTACAAGTAATGTAAGAAGGGTTAAGAAACAATAGTCCATACATGAGATATTTATACATATTTTGTATAAGAAATGTATAACTATGTAAACTTTATTTTTATATAGTTTTGATCAAAAAGCTATAGAATTGACCTCTTATTACTACTTTTTGATAGAAATCTATTTTGCCATTATTTAGTGTTTATTTCTAAAGCTGCTCGAAGTCGGGCTGTGGCGGTGGTTCTTGTGGTAGAGGCTCGAAGTCACCGAGACTGTAGTGCGGTTCCTCGTGACGTGGTGTTGCCAACGGACGGTCGTATGTGTCCTTGAGAAGTTCCTGGTCATGCTGGGAAAAATATTAAGTGTTTAATAATCTAGGTATACATATATTAGACAAAAAAAATACAATATCTGTAATTGTACATCATTGTGGATGGATAAAATATATTTATTAACTATAAGAATAATACGAAAAGTACAACCCTAGATTACCCTTAAAATGAACAAGAAATTATTTATAACATTTTTATATTATGTACGTAACATCGTTTTGAATTAAATGTTAAAGTAAAAAACATTACCATTTACATCTGGAAATAATTTAAAAGCATTATTAATATTTTATTTAACTTATTCATACATACTTTTATAAGGAAACTTGCATGCCACTTACCTGATCAGACTGCAGCACTGAAGGAGGAGCCAGATCATCGAGCGACAGTTGTGTGTTGAGAACTGATGGAGGAGCATAGTCCGCAATAGCTGCTACACTGTCCACTGGTTGCTAAATATATACAAATAGAACTCGTTAGCTATTTTGAGATTTTCGTTTTATACATAGCGACTTTTGGAACTGGGCTATGCCACTGAAATGAAAAGCAAGGAACAGACGCAACGCTCAGGGTGTCGCGGATCGAGTGATGATCTCAAGTTCCGTCTGTGCGCGCCTCAAAGAGCTAATAGACCACAACAGACGGAGCCCTATAGGGCTGCTGTTCAGCCGGCGTTGCGGGCCAAGCGCAATAAGGTACTGGGGCCTCAGCCTAGAGCAGGAGAAGGAACGGGGGATTTTTAGCCACTAAGAGTCTGACTTCCCTCTCGCGTTACCCTGGGTGAGATCATTGGATGATTTTCTACTCTCAAAAAAAATGAACATGAAATTGTTGATATCGCATCTGACTTCTATTTTACTGATTCCAAGTTATACGTGATATACGTGCGTTTGTCAACTACGTGGTTCTTCGACTTCGAGTTCTGCGCTGGTAAGAACAATCTATATCTATATGTACTTCTATACTATCCAAACTAATATAATAAATGAGAAAGTAACTCTGTCTGTCTGTCTTTTCTTCACGGCTAAACTACTAAACCGATTCCTGTAAAATTTGGTACAGACATAGTTTAGAACTCGAGAAAGGACATAGGATAGTTTTTATACAAAAAATCTGCAGGAAGTCACGCGAACGGAGACGCGGGAAAAAGCTTAGTTGTATATACAAATTCTCAGCAATAGCATGAGCTCGTGTCTTGGACACGGTCAAAAAAATTATAACAACTCGAAAACAGACATAATCATTCGAATATAAGTAGTGAGTTGGTTTTCTGGCATGTTACTTATAACCTTCAGTATCCATTCGCAATAAGATTAACAGCTTACCGTGTCAACAGCAGGTGGAGTTTCTTCAACAGGCTTGGGAATGTTGACCATGGGCACATCCTCTGAGCCCACAATGTTTGCCCGGGCATCTTCCTCGGAGGCATACGCTGACTTATGGTCACACATCAACAAATGAGTCAACATGTCAGTTCCTGTGAATTAAGTGTTAACAAATTAGTTAAAAATATGTAAAAGAAAACGTTTAATAATTTCAGTTGTCTGTAACAAAGTTCTGTTGGTTTTTTGTAAAATCTTATATATTATATAAAACTATAGCCATTCGCCCCTGATTGGCATGGGTGTCCAACTACTTCGATGTCAGTAATTTGTTTTGCTAGCGACCGTTATAGCAGCGAAAGGGTTGCTATTTCTGGCTTCCCCCTATCTATTTAGCTTTTCTTTCATGAGACTTTGTCCATAAGTGTCATAAATCATTATCATCATCATCATCACCATCATCACCCCATAAGTGCCAACTGCTGAGCAAAGGCCTCTTCTCACACGGACAAGGTAGGAGCATTAATCACCATGCTTTTTTAGAAATTATCCAGTAAGTCCAGGTTTCCTCACAAGTGTCATAAATAATACAACATAAAAATACTTATCGAAATTGGTGCAACTGTTCTCGAGATTTTCGCTTAGAAACACATATTTATATTAAAGATTATTGGAAGAGTCCCAAGCGAAAGTTGTTTCTAACAAATCACGATTGAGACTTCTTAATTTTAAGATTATAATGTAAAAGTATTATAGACCCACCTATATCAGTGTTGTACCCACAGACGCAGTAGGCGCGGCGCGGGGCGGGGCGCGGCGCGTCCTCCAGCGAGTGCGGGCCGGCGCAGTACGCGCTGTGACGCAACATGGCGCGGTAACACGACGTCACGTACGAACACTTCGTGCACCGGGTCGTGCCCCTGCACAAACACAACATTGAATTACAGAAGATATAAAAATAAATGAGTGATACCACGAATTCAAACCAAACTTGCGTTATGCTTACCATATAAGGTATGAGTGAGGTTACCGGAGGTCTTTCGTACATCGCAGACATATAATTTCATAGACACGTGACATCTAGACCCGGAACAACTATTTGTGGATCACACATAGAGTTGTTCCGAGCGGGAATCAAACGTTGCGCGGCAGCCAGTTGCCCAGCCATCGTGCCACCGTCCAGTCAAACTTCGACAAAGCACTTGCAATTGTAATATGTATATTAGGAACGCATATTACTTATCAAGACCCCCAGATACTCTTATGATACTTCTCCTTTACCGCCCTATCTAAAAATACTATATGCGAAATACTCAACTTACAAAAAAACTAATTTTGAATGACCAGTTAACAATATTATGGAAGCTAAAGTAATGAGACTTTTAGTCCTAAAAGATAATCTATAATACAATATGTCAATACGAATATTGACAATATTGTTCATTGTACGACATAATATAATTATGAACAATATATGGGACCTTATCTTTGATGCCGTTTCTTCTGATGTATTTTTATTTTTATTATTGTTCATTTTGTGTCTTTTATGCGTCCCAGACGCGAATAAATACTTTTCGTTTGTTTGTTTGTTATGCCTCTTTATTAAAATCAGTTCATCACTTTTGAGCTACAGAACCTTAATATTTACTACTTATATTATTGTAGATACTTACAAGAAATGTTGCTCCCTCTCGAGAGGGGTATCGCACTCCCGACACAGCATCCCTTCCGGCAGGACTAGTGTCAGGTTCTCAAAGGTCTCATCAATCGTGTGGTTGGTTGAATCCTTTACTGGAGGGCGCGCCTTGTTCTGTATAACAAAGTTTTATTAAACAAGAAAGGGATATCATGAAAATAGGCAAAGAAAATATTGAAAAAGCATTTTGATTTCATGTTGAAATTAAGCAAGATATGGACGAAGGAAGCACACACACACCCACGCATGTGATATTCAACGGTTTACAATTTATATTACATTAGTACTAATTAACATCAGAAAATATAGGCTTAACTATATGTGTTATTGATATATGAATGATAAGACAAGATGAATAACAAATAGTTAAATTGTTTTTTTTTTATCTATATCTGTGTATATTTCATAATTATAGATCCGTTCAGTAACTTTTGCGTGTAACATTAACACTTAAATGCATACAACAAGCTCACCTTTCACATTTATAGTATTAGTGTGATTTATTGTACATGAAGAAACGGTAAATAAATAAAAATAATCTTTAATATTACACTCACTCTAGGCTTGGTAATCAAATGTTCTTCGGAGCAGAGTGGAGTCGCACCTTCCACGGTAATGTGATCCCGAACTTGATGTTCTTTGAGTTGACCTAAAAGAACAAATACATTTGGCAAAAAGGATAGTAATTTCTTTTTTTAAGAGGAAAAATCATCAAATGACATTTTGCCCTGGGCGGGGGCGAGTGGGAGTGTCAAACTCTTACTGACTATTATTATAACCACTCGTTTCTTCTCCTGCTCTATGCCGGGTGCGCGGTAGTTTATTTCTTTATCTTCCACGCAAACCTGGCAGGCATATCTATAAGTCATCAATAACATGCAGGGATATCTATAGCTTACAAGTACTTCATTCTTACTGGTAACAATTAGAAATATTTTGTCATCCTATTTAAACGATCTTTCTCTTTGATACTATAGTATATTCATCCGTAATATTTAAAGGCATTTGCGATAACGTATATTTAGTTTTAGTCAATGCAATACTAATATATTATTATTAATACTAGCGGACCCTCCCCGAAAACTCCAACATATCAAATTTCAGCTAAATCGTTAGGTGCGTTTAAGAGATACGTGCTTTTTCAAGCAATCAGCGCCATCTGCCGGGCTGATTTATGAATCTAAATCTCCATGCAGGGCGCCACTCAAACGCATACAGAAAAATCAGTTAATTAGGTCAACCCGTTTAGGAGGAGTTTAAGTAAATACATACACACGTACAACAAAATTATGTATATAAAGATACAACTCACCAAGATGTACAAATCTGAGCACGCATCTATTGCAGCGTACTTCCAGATCTTTGTCCTGATGTTGTTTCAAGTGGTCCAGGTAAAGCACCACGTTCGCTGTTAGCTCGTAGCCATCAGAATATACTTTTATCACCTGTAAAAGAAAGAAAGGAGAACTATTTAATTTATGGATTAAACAGAAACGAGAAAAAATAGAGTAATTTATAGGTGAAGCTTGTAGTATAGCAGCGTTCTCTAAAAGTCAACCACAGAGTAGTTTCTTACTTGTTTGTATGAGTGTATTTATTCATAAGAAGCTAGTATTAAAACAGAAGAAGGTTCTTATGAATAACCCCACCGACTAAAATGTATTACAAATTAATGGCGTGTTTATTACAAAATGGTTGTACAGTGCAACCGCGCATTCTGCACAACATCATCTAAGAATAGTGTGTGTAAGGGACAGAGCAAGGGATTATAGCAGATATAATTATTATTAAAATAGCCATGGCGGGCTACCGTATGCACCGGATAATATTAACGACGGAGCGCGTACGGTCCGTTGTTTATATTATCCGGCGTTATCGTGGTTATGATGGCCCTTTTTTCTCTGGTTGCGAAGTGGCACCAACGCACGGAGTTCGCACCACTGAACATACTTTCGGTGATCGTCCACGAGGTGATGGCAGGGCGCGAGGTTCACATGGCGTGAACAAGTAGGGTAGGTCGGTAAGGTTTACCTATGAGCAAAGCTGCTGGCTAAAGTTAGAAAGAGTGACAGTTTGAGAATGTACCTTGAGACAGTGGGGGCAGCAGACGGAGTGCGTGCGCTTTTGTCGCGCGGCGTAGTGGCAGTCTGAGAATGTACCTTGAGACAGTGGGGGCAGCAGACGGAGTGCGTGCGCTTGTGTCGCGCGGCGTAGTGACAGTCTGAGAATGTACCTTGAGACAGTGTGGGCAGCAGACGGAGTGCGTGCGCTTGTGTCGCGCGGCGTAGTGACAGTCTGAGAATGTACCTTGAGACAGTGGAGGCAGCAGACGGAGTGCGTGCGCTTGTGTCGCGCGGCGTAGTGACAGTCTGAGAATGTACCTTGAGACAGTGGGGGCAGCAGACGGAGTGCGTGCGCTTGTGTCGCGCGGCGTAGTGACAGTCTGAGAATGTACCTTGAGACAGTGGGGGCAGCAGACGGAGTGCGTGCGCTTGTGTCGCGCGGCGTAGTGACAGTCTGAGAATGTACCTTGAGACAGTGGGGGCAGCAGACGGAGTGCGTGCGCTTGTGTCGCGCGGCGTAGTGACAGTCTGAGAATGTACCTTGAGACAGTGTGGGCAGCAGACGGAGTGCGTGCGCTTGTGTCGCGCGGCGTAGTGACAGTCTGAGAATGTACCTTGAGACTGTGGGGGCTGCAGACGGAGTGCGTGCGCTTGTGTCGCGCGGCGTAGTGACAGTCTGAGAATGTACCTTGAGACAGTGTGGGCAGCAGACGGAGTGCGTGCGCTTGTGTCGCGCGGCGTAGTGACAGTCTGAGAATGTACCTTGAGACAGTGGGGGCAGCAGACGGAGTGCGTGCGCTTGTGTCGCGCGGCGTAGTGACAGTCTGAGAATGTACCTTGAGACAGTGGGGGCAGCAGACGGAGTGCGTGCGCTTGTGTCGCGCGGCGTAGTGACAGTCTGAGAATGTACCTTGAGACAGTGTGGGCAGCAGACGGAGTGCGTGCGCTTGTGTCGCGCGGCGTAGTGACAGTCTGAGAATGTACCTTGAGACAGTGGAGGCAGCAGACGGAGTGCGTGCGCTTGTGTCGCGCGGCGTAGTGACAGTCTGAGAATGTACCTTGAGACAGTGGGGGCAGCAGACGGAGTGCGTGCGCTTGTGTCGCGCGGCGTAGTGACAGTCTGAGAATGTACCTTGAGACAGTGGGGGCAGCAGACGGAGTGCGTGCGCTTGTGTCGCGCGGCGTAGTGACAGTCTGAGAATGTACCTTGAGACAGTGGGGGCAGCAGACGGAGTGCGTGCGCTTGTGTCGCGCGGCGTAGTAACAGTCTGAGAATGTACCTTGAGACAGTGTGGGCAGCAGACGGAGTGCGTGCGCTTGTGTCGCGCGGCGTAGTGACAGTCTGAGAATGTACCTTGAGACAGTGGGGGCAGCAGACGGAGTGCGTGCGCTTGTGTCGCGCGGCGTAGTGACAGTCTGAGAATGTACCTTGAGACAGTGTGGGCAGCAGACGGAGTGCGTGCGCTTGTGTCGCGCGGCGTAGTGACAGTCTGAGAATGTACCTTGAGACTGTGGGGGCTGCAGACGGAGTGCGTGCGCTTGTGTCGCGCGGCGTAGTGACAGTCTGAGAATGTACCTTGAGACAGTGGGGGCAGCAGACGGAGTGCGTGCGCTTGTGTCGCGCGGCGTAGTGACAGTCTGAGAATGTACCTTGAGACAGTGTGGGCAGCAGACGGAGTGCGTGCGCTTGTGTCGCGCGGCGTAGTGACAGTCTGAGAATGTACCTTGAGACTGTGGGGGCTGCAGACGGAGTGCGTGCGCTTGTGTCGCGCGGCGTAGTGACAGTCTGAGAATGTACCTTGAGACAGTGTGGGCAGCAGACGGAGTGCGTGCGCTTGTGTCGCGCGGCGTAGTGACAGTCTGAGAATGTACCTTGAGACAGTGGGGGCAGCAGACGGAGTGCGTGCGCTTGTGTCGCGCGGCGTAGTGACAGTCTGAGAATGTACCTTGAGACAGTGGGGGCAGCAGACGGAGTGCGTGCGCTTGTGTCGCGCGGCGTAGTGACAGTCTGAGAATGTACCTTGAGACAGTGGGGGCAGCAGACGGAGTGCGTGCGCTTGTGTCGCGCGGCGTAGTGACAGTCTGAGAATGTACCTTGAGACAGTGTGGGCAGCAGACGGAGTGCGTGCGCTTGTGTCGCGCGGCGTAGTGACAGTCTGAGAATGTACCTTGAGACAGTGTGGGCAGCAGACGGAGTGCGTGCGCTTGTGTCGCGCGGCGTAGTGACAGTCTGAGAATGTACCTTGAGACAGTGGGGGCAGCAGACGGAGTGCGTGCGCTTGTGTCGCGCGGCGTAGTGACAGTCTGAGAATGTACCTTGAGACAGTGTGGGCAGCAGACGGAGTGCGTGCGCTTGTGTCGCGCGGCGTAGTGACAGTCTGAGAATGTACCTTGAGACAGTGGGGGCAGCAGACGGAGTGCGTGCGCTTGTGTCGCGCGGCGTAGTGACAGTCTGAGAATGTACCTTGAGACAGTGGGGGCAGCAGACGGAGTGCGTGCGCTTGTGTCGCGCGGCGTAGTGACAGTCTGAGAATGTACCTTGAGACAGTGGGGGCAGCAGACGGAGTGCGTGCGCTTTTGTCGCGCGGCGTAGTGGCAGTCTGAGAATGTACCTTGAGACAGTGGGGGCAGCAGACGGAGTGCGTGCGCTTGTGTCGCGCGGCGTAGTGACAGTCTGAGAATGTACCTTGAGTCAGTGGGGGCAGCAGACGGAGTGCGTGCGCTTGTGTCGCGCGGCGTAGTGACAGTCTGAGAATGTACCTTGAGACAGTGGGGGCAGCAGACGGAGTGCGTGCGCTTGTGTCGCGCGGCGTAGTGACAGTCTGAGAATGTACCTTGAGACAGTGGGGGCAGCAGACGGAGTGCGTGTGCTTGTGTCGCGCGGCGTAGTGACAGTCTGAGAATGTACCTTGAGACAGTGGGGGCAGCAGACGGAGTGCGTGTGCTTGTGTCGCGCGGCGTAGTGACAGTCTGAGAATGTACCTTGAGACAGTGTGGGCAGCAGACGGAGTGCGTGCGCTTGTGTCGCGCGGCGTAGTGACAGTCTGAGAATGTACCTTGAGACAGTGTGGGCAGCAGACGGAGTGCGTGCGCTTGTGTCGCGCGGCGTAGTGACAGTCTGAGAATGTACCTTGAGACAGTGGGGGCAGCAGACGGAGTGCGTGCGCTTGTGTCGCGCGGCGTAGTGACAGTCTGAGAATGTACCTTGAGACAGTGGGGGCAGCAGACGGAGTGCGTGCGCTTGTGTCGCGCGGCGTAGTAACAGTCTGAGAATGTACCTTGAGACAGTGTGGGCAGCAGACGGAGTGCGTGCGCTTGTGTCGCGCGGCGTAGTGACAGTCTGAGAATGTACCTTGAGACAGTGGGGGCAGCAGACGGAGTGCGTGCGCTTTTGTCGCGCGGCGTAGTGGCAGTCTGAGAATGTACCTTGAGACAGTGGGGGCAGCAGACGGAGTGCGTGCGCTTGTGTCGCGCGGCGTAGTGACAGTCTGAGAATGTACCTTGAGTCAGTGGGGGCAGCAGACGGAGTGCGTGCGCTTGTGTCGCGCGGCGTAGTGACAGTCTGAGAATGTACCTTGAGACAGTGGGGGCAGCAGACGGAGTGCGTGCGCTTGTGTCGCGCGGCGTAGTGACAGTCTGAGAATGTACCTTGAGACAGTGGGGGCAGCAGACGGAGTGCGTGTGCTTGTGTCGCGCGGCGTAGTGACAGTCTGAGAATGTACCTTGAGACAGTGGGGGCAGCAGACGGAGTGCGTGTGCTTGTGTCGCGCGGCGTAGTGACAGTCTGAGAATGTACCTTGAGACAGTGTGGGCAGCAGACGGAGTGCGTGCGCTTGTGTCGCGCGGCGTAGTGACAGTCTGAGAATGTACCTTGAGACAGTGTGGGCAGCAGACGGAGTGCGTGCGCTTGTGTCGCGCGGCGTAGTGACAGTCTGAGAATGTACCTTGAGACAGTGGGGGCAGCAGACGGAGTGCGTGCGCTTGTGTCGCGCGGCGTAGTGACAGTCTGAGAATGTACCTTGAGACAGTGTGGGCAGCAGACGGAGTGCGTGCGCTTTTGTCGCGCGGCGTAGTGGCAGTCTGAGAATGTACCTTGAGACAGTGGGGGCAGCAGACGGAGTGCGTGCGCTTTTGTCGCGCGGCGTAGTGGCAGTCTGAGAATGTACCTTGAGACAGTGGGGGCAGCAGACGGAGTGCGTGCGCTTGTGTCGCGCGGCGTAGTGACAGTCTGAGAATGTACCTTGAGACAGTGGGGGCAGCAGACGGAGTGCGTGCGCTTTTGTCGCGCGGCGTAGTGGCAGTCTGAGAATGTACCTTGAGACAGTGGGGGCAGCAGACGGAGTGCGTGCGCTTGTGTCGCGCGGCGTAGTGACAGTCTGAGAATGTACCTTGAGACAGTGTGGGCAGCAGACGGAGTGCGTGCGCTTGTGTCGCGCGGCGTAGTGACAGTCTGAGAATGTACCTTGGGACAGTGGGGGCAGCAGACGGAGTGCGTGCGCTTGTGTCGCGCGGCGTAGTGACAGTCTGAGAATGTACCTTGAGACAGTGGGGGCAGCAGACGGAGTGCGTGCGCTTGTGTCGCGCGGCGTAGTGACAGTCTGAGAATGTACCTTGAGACAGTGGGGGCAGAAGACGGAGTGCGTGCGCTTTTGTCGCGCGGCGTAGTGGCAGTCTGAGAATGTACCTTGAGACAGTGGGGGCAGCAGACGGAGTGCGTGCGCTTGTGTCGCGCGGCGTAGTGACAGTCTGAGAATGTACCTTGAGTCAGTGGGGGCAGCAGACGGAGTGCGTGCGCTTGTGTCGCGCGGCGTAGTGACAGTCTGAGAATGTACCTTGAGACAGTGGGGGCAGCAGACGGAGTGCGTGTGCTTGTGTCGCGCGGCGTAGTGACAGTCTGAGAATGTACCTTGAGACAGTGGGGGCAGCAGACGGAGTGCGTGTGCTTGTGTCGCGCGGCGTAGTGACAGTCTGAGAATGTACCTTGAGACAGTGGGGGCAGCAGACGGAGTGCGTGCGCTTGTGTCGCGCGGCGTAGTGACAGTCTGAGAATGTACCTTGAGACAGTGTGGGCAGCAGACGGAGTGCGTGCGCTTGTGTCGCGCGGCGTAGTGACAGTCTGAGAATGTACCTTGAGACAGTGTGGGCAGCAGACGAAATGCGTGCGCTTGTGTCGCGCGGCGTAGTGACAGTCTGAGAATGTACCTTGAGACAGTGGGGGCAGCAGACGGAGTGCGTGCGCTTGTGTCGCGCGGCGTAGTGACAGTCTGAGAATGTACCTTGAGACAGTGTGGGCAGCAGACGGAGTGCGTGCGCTTTTGTCGCGCGGCGTAGTGGCAGTCTGAGAATGTACCTTGAGACAGTGGGGGCAGCAGACGGAGTGCGTGGGCTTTTGTCGCGCGGCGTAGTGGCAGTCTGAGAATGTACCTTGAGACAGTGGGGGCAGCAGACGGAGTGCGTGCGCTTGTGTCGCGCGGCGTAGTGACAGTCTGAGAATGTACCTTGAGACAGTGGGGGCAGCAGACGGAGTGCGTGCGCTTGTGTCGCGCGGCGTAGTGACAGTCAGAGAATGTACCTTGAGACAGTGGGGGCAGCAGACGGAGTGCGTGCGCTTGTGTCGCGCGGCGTAGTGACAGTCTGAGAATGTACCTTGAGACAGTGGGGGCAGCAGACGGAGTGCGTGCGCTTGTGTCGCGCGGCGTAGTGACAGTCTGAGAATGTACCTTGAGACAGTGTGGGCAGCAGACGGAGTGCGTGCGCTTGTGTCGCGCGGCGTAGTGACAGTCTGAGAATGTACCTTGAGACAGTGGGGGCAGCAGACGGAGTGCGTGCGCTTGTGTCGCGCGGCGTAGTGACAGTCTGAGAATGTACCTTGAGACAGTGTGGGCAGCAGACGGAGTGCGTGCGCTTGTGTCGCGCGGCGTAGTGACAGTCTGAGAATGTACCTTGAGACAGTGGGGGCAGCAGACGGAGTGCGTGCGCTTGTGTCGCGCGGCGTAGTGACAGTCTGAGAATGTACCTTGAGACAGTGGGGGCAGCAGACGGAGTGCGTGCGCTTGTGTCGCGCGGCGTAGTGACAGTCTGAGAATGTACCTTGAGACAGTGGGGGCAGCAGACGGAGTGCGTGCGCTTTTGTCGCGCGGCGTAGTGGCAGTCTGAGAATGTACCTTGAGACAGTGGGGGCAGCAGACGGAGTGCGTGCGCTTGTGTCGCGCGGCGTAGTGACAGTCTGAGAATGTACCTTGAGTCAGTGGGGGCAGCAGACGGAGTGCGTGCGCTTGTGTCGCGCGGCGTAGTGACAGTCTGAGAATGTACCTTGAGACAGTGGGGGCAGCAGACGGAGTGCGTGTGCTTGTGTCGCGCGGCGTAGTGACAGTCTGAGAATGTACCTTGAGACAGTGGGGGCAGCAGACGGAGTGCGTGTGCTTGTGTCGCGCGGCGTAGTGACAGTCTGAGAATGTACCTTGAGACAGTGGGGGCAGCAGACGGAGTGCGTGCGCTTGTGTCGCGCGGCGTAGTGACAGTCTGAGAATGTACCTTGAGACAGTGGGGGCAGCAGACGGAGTGCGTGTGCTTGTGTCGCGCGGCGTAGTGACAGTCTGAGAATGTACCTTGAGACAGTGGGGGCAGCAGACGGAGTGCGTGTGCTTGTGTCGCGCGGCGTAGTGACAGTCTGAGAATGTACCTTGAGTCAGTGGGGGCAGCAGACGGAGTGCGTGCGCTTGTGTCGCGCGGCGTAGTGACAGTCTGAGAATGTACCTTGAGACAGTGTGGGCAGCAGACGGAGTGCGTGTGCTTGTGTCGCGCGGCGTAGTGACAGTCTGAGAATGTACCTTGAGACAGTGGGGGCAGCAGACGGAGTGCGTGTGCTTGTGTCGCGCGGCGTAGTGCTGCAGCAGCGCGGCGTGCGACGACACGCGGTAGGTGCAGGCGGCCGCGTCGCACGCGTACGGCAGCTCCCGCGGCGCGTGCGTCTTCTGCATGTGCGACGCCAGCGTCAGCACTGCCGCGAAACGGACCTACAGGAGACAAACGTGTTACTAGCTACTCTATCATTTGTAAGTCTTTCAGAAGACCTACGTTCAGCCGTGGAGCCCTGAAGAGGTCCTGTTATAATTATGATCATAATGGTTTATAAAATTTGAAGTCAACGTGGTGTCATTTTGCCTGTAATAAAATGATAATAATAATAATGTTACTGATGGACCTACTCAAGCTAACTGAAACCTTTAGTAGTGCCATCAGGATGTAATTTGGTGTGGACAAATATGTGTCATGTATGTAACACAAGGGGAGGTAGGGTGAAGTCTGTGAGCAATTAACTCACAGATTCTATAAACCTGAGGTCCCTCTCTCCAACCGAAACCTTAAGTATTTGGGTATGTTGGAATCTCTAGGTATCAATGTCACTGACATGAAGCAATCGCTGAAGGAGCGTTTGTTTGGTCGCCAGAAGAAGGTATTTGAAGAAGGCTTTCCTTCAGGTGAAAACAAAGTGCGCACCTTCATCAGTTGGGTCATGCCGGTTTTGATGAACTCTTTCGGTGTACTCAAATGGTCTCAAATTGAACTCGACGCCCTGCATAGGCGGGTACGAACAAAGCTGACTGCATATCGAATGCATCACCCGCGATCGTCGTGATGAGACTGTATATCCCGCGGAAGTGTGGGGTTCGAGGCTTTTTAAATGCCAAGACCTTACACAACCGCGAGGTATGTAGTCTCATATAATATTTTCTAGCTACCGACGTGCGAATGCTTCGATATGTAATGGCAGTGGACAAAGGATCACCCCAATATCCCTCCCTAGCTATCGAGTACTGGCAACCGGTCGTACTTGACACCAACGCTCGCAGGGAAGTATGGCAGAGCAAGGAGCTTCACGGACGCTTTTTTTTTGGACCAGTTCGCGGCCTTAGTCTGGCTACCCGAATGGTTTGTTTGTGCAATATGGACGAAGTTATCATGACGAATAACTACCAGAAATTTATTGTGAAGGATGGCACGGTTTTCACGTATTGGCACATCTGTCGGGCATAGCACCGTCCGAGAGAATCAATTCGTCACATAATCTCTGGTTGTTCTCGTCTAGCTAACGGCGAGTACTTGCATAGGCACAACCTTGTATCCAGGATCTGATGTGCCGTTCCACAGGTATGATCTCGAACCAGTTCTTGATAATGGTCAACTTATACTGGGATCGATCTATCATCACTAACAGGACTATTAAAGCCAATAAGCCTGATATGCTGATGGACCGAAACGAGAGGCGTGCAATGATTGTTGACATAGCCGTCCGGCATGACGAGAACCTTGTGAAATCCGAGAAAGATAAACTAATCATGTATATTGACTTGGCACGCGAGGTTGTCCACATGTGGGAAGTGGATTCGGCTATCATTGTACCGATAGTCGTGTCAGCCAATGACTTAATAGCTAAGAGCCACGATCAACACCTTAGGAGGTTCTTGTTAGGTGGCTTGATTCAGAAAGTGGTATTTCTAGACACGGCCCGCATTGTCCAGAGATTCTTTTCTCTGGAGTCATGACCTGGCCGGTAGCTAGAACCTTGTTCCTGATACCAGTGGGACAACCAGTAAACGTACTAGTTTTATTATATTTTTTTTTGAATTTTAATTTTTTATGAAATATTTAAGAATGCATTTTATATGTAAAAGAAATTTAAATTATTTACGACTCACGAGGACTGATAAGATTGGTCGCAACTTCTTGCGTTAGGTTTAGCTAAATTAAGAGAATCTTTTTAATAAGTACTTTTCCCAATCCGAGAAAGTAAAAATGCCTCTTGTATACAAAAATGCCTCTATTTAAGTGTGGGAGAGCCATGCTTCGGCACGAATGGGTCGGCTCGACCGGAGTGATACCACGGCCTCACAGAATACCAAGGGAAACAACCACAGCGTTCTGTTTCTCCGTGTAAGTGAGGTTACCGGATCCTTATATTCGCAACCCCTATCGACAAAAATCCATGTCTGTGTCGTGTCCATGGGCGGCGCCAATTGCTTACCATCAAGTAATCCGTCTACTCGTATGCCGAATTATACCATAATATATATATAGAATTCCCACTATTCTAAAACTCACCTCACAAATAAGACACGCATAGGTAAACAGATCAGGCGACTTGGTATCGGCCGGGTGGCTGTGTTTGAGATGTACATCCAACTCCTCTTGCGTGGGGAACCGAGTGAGACAGAACGTGCATTGTGCGAGATTCGAGCCATCCTCTGCAGGGGGCACCGCGTGGCTGTATAGATGGGTCATTAGGAGTATATTGTCGTTGAATTCCTCGTGGCAGACTGGACACTGAAATAGAAAATATAGTTTTGAAAAAGTAGTTACAATGAGAACCACTCTCGATTTCCCCGAAGCGTGTCTTTAAGGCCCGATTTTACTCGGACCATATGGTTGCTGTGGGTAAGGTTGCTTATGGGTAGGCATGCTCCATTATAGATAGCATCATTGCTCACCATAGGCGTGATAGCAACAAAATGCCTGCTCATTACGAAATAAAAACGATAATAGAAAATATAAATACGAAAATATCAATATGTTTACAATACAGCATTAGTTTAAAGTGTGGAATAGCCATACTTCGACACGAATAGGTCGATTCGACCGCAGTTATACAACGGCCAGAGATTACAATCAATTCCCAACCTACGAACCAGCTTTCGGCAACGTACTTGTAACACATTTGGTATTGCAGCCGGCTTCAATTGCTTATCATTATAATATGGTTGGCAAGATAATCATTCGACGCCCTATCTCATAAAAAATAGCTTTTCTCTTATCATAATCTTTTGACCCAAAAAATGAAATGTTTAAACAGGTTTTTCTACACTTGAAATGCAGTTATTTAAAAAGAGGATTTAAGAGACCATTTTCACTGCATTCGTTTAATTTGTTACTGAAAAAAAAATGCAATATTTTGCAAAAGGTTAAAATTAGAACGCTTTTTAAAAGAAATAATAAAACATATTTTACAATAAAATATACTAACCTGTACCGCAATGGCAGTTTTGACAACCTCTTCGTCCCCTCCTATCTGTCCGAAATAGTATCTTTCCATAGACACAGTCTCTTCAGGCCGGACCTCCTTCTTAATGTTCTTCAAAGGTATATCATCCAAATCGTCATCAACGTAAGACTTCGCCTTATTAGTCCTGCGGCTACGAGGTGTCGTTTCTTCTTTTTTCTCTTTAGTTTTTTCTTTTTCTTCCTTTATTTTCGACTTTCGGCTTAGAGCTAGAGGTATCTACGGGATAGAAGTTATGTTTTGATTAATTAATGCTGCTTTGCTTTTTTTAATTGCTTAGTCATAAATGGAAAGCCTAAATAAAAGTCGGCACACAGACATTATCAGCCAAAACAGCAAGAAGCAAATAATAACAATTATTATTTCCAGAGATAATTTATCTACCTAGCCTGGATTCAGCGAAAATATTTAGGTAGTCACAGATAAAATAAGAGTTACATACTAAAGGGTTTACTAAGTACATAATACATACCTCCTCGTCATCATCATCTTCAACATAGGTGGTCTTCTCCTTCCTTCTCTTCTTGGGCGGTGGAGAAGGCGAAGGCTCCTTCTTCTTTCGTCCACGCTTACTACGTCCAGTCTCCGGCTCCGGTTCTTCTATCTTCTCACGTTTCTACAACATTTCAGATATTCAATATTATAGAGATTTTATGTACATTTGTTAGAGATTTGAAAGAGTTGTTCCGTGCGGAAATCGAACCCGCTACACGTTGCGCGGCAGTCAATTGCCCAGTCACCGCGCCAACCATGCAGTCAAATATTTTATTAAGTGATAAATATTTATGAATTTATGAAAATAATTTTAGTAAAAAATATTTATTTTATAATTGATATTTACTTACCTTGCTAGGGTACTTCCAGTTTTTGAATGGATTGGCAGCGATTTTGTTAAGGCGCACTGTGATCGGGTCTTTGAATTCCATCTTGCTTTGCTCTGCTATATGGATCACTATGTTGTCGAATGCTTGTCCAGGAGAAATACCATACCTAAGGACCAATATTAAAAACGTATGATTCTGATGTAAGCCCTATGCTTTTCTGAAAGAATACACGTAGGCATGACTAGATAAAAATTTGGGAGTACATAGGAATAATAATTATTTTTATATTACAAATAAATTAAAAATATATCAGTGTGGGAGAGCGAGAGGTAAGCTTCGGCACGAATGGGTCGAGTCAACCGGAGTGATACCACGGCCTCACAGAAAACCGGCGTGAATCAACCACAGCGCTGTTTTGCCGCGTGAGAGCGTTTGCCGAATCCTCAATCTCTAATCTCCAAAAGGTCGGCTACACACTCTTAAGTCTTCCGTTGTTGCGGGTGTCCATGAGCGGCACTGATTGCTTACCATCAGGTAATCCGTCTACTCGTTTGTCGTCTTACATTAAGCTAACAAGCTGTTCTTACCTTTCTCTCCAAACCAATTCATCCAAGAACTGCTGAATAATTTGCCTGGATAGCAAAGATAGGGTGTTTTGGAACATTCGAGGAACAATCCTCCTCAAGTACTCCATGATGTTAGCATTGCTGTTCCTTGCGTTTGAGGAGTCGGCGTGTGCTGACGCTTGGTGCACGTTCTTGAAGCCCATGGACACCAGGGTGCCCTTGTCTACCGTCAGGTCGGTCAGAATTACTGATGATGGATGCACCCAAGAAGAAAGCGGTTCTAGAATCTTCTGGAAGCGCTTCTTATAGTTCTTTTCATGTTCTGCTAAGGGTTCCACTGCGCGGAGACGGATCTGTAAAAAAATATTGAGATGCTAATTGTGTGTGTGATTGACGTCTCCTAGAACTTATTTTCAGTGTCTGAATTGACTGGTGCACTGTTCGTTTTTTAAAGGACATATTACAAGATATATGTTCATAATGAACATGCATTAAATTATCCAAGTACTTAAACAGGTATTGTGAGAGAAACGTAGATTAGAAGGTCGAATTTCACAAAAATAAAAATTAAACACATGTCTTACCAATTTTTCGACAGGATCCAGTACACCTAAGACTTCAACCTTGACTTGCCTCTGCGTGCCATCATGGCTGGTAGTCCCCAAGGATATGACACCAACTTCAACTTTTTTTCCGACTCCACCTAACAAGCTCATATGCTGATGAATGGCTACTGTGCAAACCGCCCTAAGCCATGTAAACAGTCCTTTTACATAAAGATTGTCCACTTTCACCCACTGGACGACATTTTGAACATTCGTTTGACACGCCCAGTGGTATATTAATTTGAGGAGCACGCTTGGAGGGAAGGTGGCTCCTTCAAAAATGGAACTGGAGTACACTGAGACAAATCGAGTTGGACAGCATTCTGATATCCAGACGTAGCCACCTGAGTAGGGGAACTTTGATACGTCGGAGTACATTCCTGAAAATTAAGGTTAGATTTAAGGTAGTCGACTTGACTTGAACAATGAGAAAAGCGAAAAACATTGCAGTTTATAAAGAAAATTAAAGGATATTATAGTGAATTTACATTTATTTTGTGGTGTAAATATTAAAATTGTACATTCACAATACACAATGCACATTTACATAAAATAAAGAATCTAAACTTGACAGAACCTCGATTAAACCAGCAACATTTTTATAATTTTACAAGAACAACTTACCAAGTTTAAGTTTATTCCCGGGATGTATGACGCACCATTGCTCGGACCTGACGAGTCCCTGTTGTATGAGCCACTCGGTAAACTTCATGGGAGTGTGCATCAGTACTGACTTGACTTTGCTGTCTAGCGTCGCGCGGTCGGCGGGAGCTGTCGAGTCCTTTGAACGCAGGTAGGGCCGCGCCACTACCACTAGCGAGGGGAATGTCTTGCCTGTAGAACCAGAATAGACACGAGAATTACTCAAATACATTATTACAACAATGAAAATCTAGATAAAGCCGACATCTTCGTTTTTAGCTTGTTATTTTATAGAAGACTAGCTACTCTCACGCGGTTTCACCCGCTGCTCGGCTCCATTTAAGCATAGCGTGATGTTTTATAGCCTATAGCACTCAGGAACATTGTAGCTATCTATCAGTGAAAGAATTTTGGCAATCCGACCAGCGGTTCCAAAGATTACCCCCTACATACAAACTTACAAATTTTACCTCTATATAATATAGATACTTCTAACATTTCTTTTTACTAAATTTCAAACTGTTCTAAAATAACATTTTAAACATACCTTGTAACTTATTGAACGACACCTCTCTAGAATCAGCAACATTCTTATTGCCATCGTCTTTAGTCAAGTCAACGATAGCAGCGGTCTTTGTAGCGCTGCCTGTCAACAAGCCTCCGATGGCAGTAGCCTCGGAGGGACGCACGTTAGTAACCACGCTGTGGACATCTGTAGGGGAATTTAAGATTATTGGTGGAAATCAGACGTATGTACCTAATTATGAACCTAGTGTTATAGAACATTAATATCATGTATTTCCATTTTTTTTAATACTTTTCGCATAGTCTTGTGTAATGGCAAACTTAATGCCGAGGGTCTGAGAATCTATTAGTCTGCTTACAGGTGATACAAAATCGGGTCATGGTACAACAAAAGCAAGCAGTTATCAATTATTGATCCCTGAAATTTTAATAATAATTATTTTACAGAAAATTATTGATGTGTTAGGTTTGTACTAAAATTAAATATTTATTATATATACCTATATTATTAAAACATAAATACTATATACACATTACCATACTAGATAATTAATGTTCCATGCAAATAGCGCGTAAATAGTGATGGTTAGGTAAAAATATGTGTAGGTCAATTAATTTAGGACAAAATTAACAGGTTTCCTGCTACCTAACATATAATGCAGATATAGCATCAAGTTATGCTTCAGTATACTTTATTTGGGTATACTTGGCATTAAGGTGAACAAAGGTCTTTGAACTAATATCAAAATGAACTGTAAAAGTACAGTATTCATAGATGTTATCTATGAATGTTAGGATTGGTATCCCAAGCCACTATTTTTCTGTGTACAGTTATATTTAATTACATAATCAAGTAATAATGAACAACTTTATGTATTTATTAATGTTCTAACACTTGGAAAGTTTAGAGTATATTTACAATTAGGTCTTCTAAAACCAGTATTAAAAATAATATTACTTACTGGAAGGTGCAAGAGTCTTATCCTTAGTCTTGGTGTTCTCCTTGTCTTTCTCTTTCTCCTTCTCTTTTTCCTTAATTTTCTCTTTATCCTTCTTTTTCTTTTTATGTTTAACTTCCGGAGACTTGTTTCTCTCTGGTGAAGGAGAGTAGTCACGATCTTCCTCACGATTCTTCCTTGGACGACCTGAACAATTAAAAAATGTAGTTTATTTTTTTTTAACAATTCATATTATTTTGATGTTTATCATGTTTAATTTGAATGTAGCAACCAACAAGTAGAATATAATGTTTTTGATAAAGATAGTGTAATAATTAAAACCTATGATAATACTGTAAACACTATAACTAGAAATTTTTTAGGAACAAATTTCATATTATACACATTATAAAAAATATTATGAGATATTTTTTATTACTACATACTTAACTTTTTGTTTTTTAATCAAACAAACTAAGAATACCAAGATATTCATAATTAAGGCAGTATTGTTGATAATAATACTATGTTATGATATGATGACTACTGTTCACAGTACCTCGCTTTCCAGGCTTCTCTTTGGAGATTGACAGAGATCGAGACCTGGACCTAATGATTTCAGCACTCTGCCGTTCCAAGTCCTTCAGCACCGGTTGTCTGGAAATAAATAAATAGGCATCATTAGAAGCCATAAACATTCCAATGTATCTCTTGAGGTAATACAGAAGAATGTAATAATATTACTTATTAGAATTTGTAAGAATTTTAAGTTCATAGGTTTATTTCATTAAATGAATTATATAAAGTATTTAGATATGAATAATGAAGATACAAATAATACTTTGAATCAATCAATTAATAAATATATTTTTTAAAGAATTGTCTGACAATTAACAAGAAACATATGAAACACTTTTTACATATTAATTTATGTATAAAATTCAGACAATATTATGTAGATAACATTATTATCTATTGTGTCTGAATTAATAAACAAGTAGATTAATTAAAGATTCTTCCTCTTCTTGTGATGGCACTTCATTCATGAAGATTGGTGAAGTTCATCAGTTCAATAGCAAGAGAGATACAGGTGACTCATGTTAATAAATAAAATTATAATAGATTTTATAGATTACAAAACCACTTACTTTCCAAGCAGTTGGTAGGCCGTAAACTGGTCTCCGTTGTACACAATTTCACCACCAGTATCCTTCACCATCTCATCCAATCGGTTCTGAATACTCTTATATTCATTGTCTGCATTTTTATAAGCTTGTAGTTGAGCTTCCGACAGTTCCTCTTCCCAGCACTCCAGTTCTAACGTAGGTACATCAGGACCGAAGTAAGAGCGCTTATAGAGATCTGCTTCAATGATCTCCGCTTGAGGAGGCACCACGGGCGGTACAGTCTCCTAAAACATTACGAAAGTACGCATATATTCATTATGTTACCCACTTAGAAGGTCGTAGTTTAAATTTTATAGAAGATTGACCTGTTATTTGGTGTTTGATAGTTAATGTAAACAGAGTTTTCAATAATCTGAAGTGAATGTTATAGTAATGCCGAATACTATTGACCCTGGATAAGTATGTAAACAAAAGAGATTTCAGGAGGAATCTTACCTCCGTGTCTGTTTTAGGCTTTTTTAGTTTCATTGTTATCAAATCATTAACAATCCATACGAAATGTTTAACTTATATCCACTTCAATAAGCTAAAAATAAAAACACAACACCAAAGGTATCGAACGCTTTTTGACAGAACAAATGCCATTTGTATCTTCATAGACAATACTTGACCATAGATAAATAGTAAATGGCGAGCTATAGACAACGAAATACAATTTTCTACACGCATTTTATCGACTACTTTAACAACAGACAACAAGTTGCTGGAAAATATGTAATTAGTTATTTTTACTATTTTGGATTTCAATAATAAAAAACTTAACCCTGACTATTTTCGTTATATGAAATGACATTAATTTAACAAGAGTTCAAAAACCGGTAATATAGAGCACCATTCAAAACAAAACCGAACACCTCTAAATTAAAAATACAAAAAATGACAGTGGAACAAATAGTTTAATTTGTGATGAAATTGTTTTACCGTGTGAAAAATAGTTGAAACGGGTGAAAACAGCTTTGATAATCATGGAAGCCGTTCCAAAATTACCTATGATAAGTTTTGAGCTGAAGGTGAGCCACGAGAATACGCATTTTGGACCAAAATTAAAACAGGTAAGTAGGACTTGTAATCTCTGATAAAGTTACTTTTAACATTTCTTTGTCATTTCTCTTACGTTGTTTTTTTAGTACATCGCCGAGGCTTATAGGGAGGATCCGGACAGCTATAGCAATGAGATCCATCAGTTGGAAGGTTTGCGGTCAGTGGCCGTACGACCTACAATTGATTCTGCGGGTTTAAGTGCCCTCATCAGGTACTTTTGCCAGCTGCGATCGCTTCAAAGCCGTTTCCCTATGGCTAAAGGTCAACCTGCTGCGTGTTCCTTCAGCTGGTAAATCTAATTATCACTTATATGACTCTAAACTCCTATTGATTTTCTTTCTATGTATGAATGAATCATTCATTCCTGAAAAGTTGTTTACATGGTATCTAACGATGATAACATCATTGTCTGATAAAGAGTTTAAAATACTTTTGTTTTGAGAACAAATGTGAGCTTGTAAACTTGTTTGAATATTTGTTTTGTTGAATAATGCCACTATTGTAATTTGGGCAAATAAAATGATTCAAGGCATTCAAGCTGTAATGATTCATTCATCTTTCTTTTACTCTTCCATCACATGACCTAAGATTCTATTTAAAAAATGGTTGGGGTAGTCAACTTTTAGCAATAAGATTCTTGTTGGCTGGTTATATTAACTTAATCCTATAAGAACTTAATCAGGACATGTCATTTACTATTAAGCCTGAAATCTAATTAGTATGTAAGGAAACAAACACTGTACAGCCATTAGTCATTATGCAGCATACAATAAGCATGACAACTAAGCCAAATATTGTTTTTACTTCTAGGAAAGACTTGTATGCAAATATGAACAGAACACTAGCAGACATAAGGTTTGAAATGGCTAGCATTCTCTACAATGTAGGGGCACTGTTGACTCAACTAGGCGCTTCAGAACCACGAAACACAGCTGACAGCCTCAAGGCAGCTTGCACTAACTTCCAACATGCTGCGTGGGTGTTCCAGTACCTAAGGGAACAGTTACCGCAGCCATCCGGTGTAGATGTGTGCTCAGAAATTATGAGGATGATGCAAGAGATTTGCTTTGCTCAAGCACAGGAGTGTATTCTTGATAAAAGTATTCAGGACACAAGGAAACCTAGTGTTGTTGGTAAGTTACATAATATTAGACTTTAATTCTGATTAAAGGTAGAAACTTCATAGTATAAAATAAAGTCTATATACCTATGTATGCTTAAATCTTTAAAACTATGCACCTGAATTTGTCACAGTTTTTTAATAGATAGATAGTTTGAAGAAGAAGCTTAAGATATATAATAACAACTATTAAATAATGGAGAAATTTAGTATTAGCATTGCACTCATGTGAAGCCATTGTGGGTTTCTAGTATTAAATATAAAATGTTTTGTGATTGCAAGAGTGCAAAAAAAAATTTGGCTGCTACTAAGTGTAGAAAATAATTAAAAACTTCATAATTAGAAGTAGTAGGTATTTAAGCACAAATTACATTAATTGTTTACCATGTTGGTTAATATGAATTATCTTTTAGTTACATTTGATAAAAACATTGAGATGTAGGCAAATAGTGCTATCTATTATCTATTGTCAAACATCTTTACTAAAGTTAAGTTTAACAAACATAATTTGATTTTTGGCTAGTTAGCATATGTCATTACTTAAAAACCATGGTGTGGGAAAACCATGCCTCTGAACAAATGGGTGAGCTCAAGCACAATTGATACCACTACAAACTGTGGAAGCATGGAACAATGAGGTTTGGCTTGTCAATCGGGTTACTGTCTCCAATCATCAAATACCTAAATCTCAAAAACTCGCAATTCACTTGTAGCTCTTTGGCTGTGTTCATTTTTGTATTGTCACTATCATACTATATATGACATGAAATTTCTTGAAGAACACAGTAAAAACTTACTTGTGTTAGGCTCTATTAAAGTATATGTATTGTAGCGAAGTCATGTAAATGTAAAATATGTATATATATATAATGTAAAAAAAAGTAAATGCATAGCTATAGACCATAAGACAGATTATAAAAAAGAATATTATAGAAGAAGACCTAGTTCTGATTTACTAATTTGATATATTTAATTAATTACAAGTCTTTATTTTATAGGTGCTGTAGCAACACAAGTGATGTACTTCTACAAAAATTCCCTGGCATTCTTGGGTCCATCTTCAGGCATTGATGTTGTCCATGAGATTATTGGCACGAAGTTGTATAACTACTGGCATAGATACCTCTCGTTCAAGTACTCTTATATTGGCTGCGTTGTTTGCTTGTACCAAGGTAAGATAATTGTTTTCTACTGCTTGCTATAAGAACTTTTTAGAATCATATCATTTGAGAAGCAATAGGGTAGTTTCCTTAATTTAGTAATACAAATGTTTTTGCCCTTTTAATAAAGTAAAACATTTGAAAATTCACAGTTTCTTGATATACCTATGCCATGTTATGATATTTCAAAGCATTTTCATGACAAAACTCATAGAAATTGACTATTAGTTGGAAAATTTTCTATTACCTCTTTGATATGGTGCAGAAGGAAATGGAACATACAGTTTCAGTTATCGGAGGAACCCAATATACAAAAAGTTATAGATTTAGGTATTATTTATAACTTTAAGTAACAAAATGACTTACTCAATTCAATACGGGAGGTTTATAAAGTTAGTTCCATTTTTGGAAATATAAGTCTATTATTATTATGGCTTCCCAGTTCACTATGTCTAAAATAACATTTTTCCTTGATGTTCACGTCACAGTTTGTCATTGTAGCGAGTGTTAAAAGGCAAACAAATTAATAGAATTATACCTGTATACAAATGACGCAGTTAAGATCAATGATGTGTGACGCGATTGGCTGGTATTGGTTATATTTTAAGTTAGACTGAATTGTTTACTTCGTACCTAGTAGTTTTTACAATCTTTATTTAAAATAATGAATACCCAAATAAGACGAGATAAAATTGTTATTGTAAATGTCAATTACCAATAAACTTTATCCATTAGTAGTAAATATGATTTTTAATTTAATAGTAATATTTCTGAATAATAAAAAATAATATTTTTTTAAGGAAATACGTGTCTGAACCAGCCTTTACTTTAGTAAAGCCTGTCTCTAATACCAAAAGTAGCTACTACCATGTTATTATCATACTTATGCAAATGCAAAAAAAAAATTATTAAGTATGTAGTGTTTTTGAGGACTACATTAAATTATATCTATAACAGTCATGACAATATTATTTTCATACAAAAAAAATTATGGATTAAGGTCATCTCGGTGTATACATTTTATAAAACCTGGGAAGTAAGGTTACTTATTATAAGACCATTAATAATTAAGCCCATCATAAAATCATCACCCTATTTCTCAATACAGGAATGAATGCCGAAGAACAACAGAAAATGGGTGAACGAGTAGCCTTCTACCAACAAGCTGTCGAAAAATTAGGCGAAGCAAGGAAACTAGCCAAGTACATCGAACCGACACAGGTGACGCAAGAAGCTCTGACATTCACCAATGATGTGGTTGAAGGGAAGAGAAAAGCTGCTAAGAATGAAAATGAGTTCATTTATCATGAAGAGGTTCCGGAGAAGGATCTGCTATCTGATATGAAGCCAGTGTGCCTTGTAAAGGCTCTGCCTATCAACTTTAACGATCCTGAGGTATGTTTGATAGTGTTTATTTTTATTTTTTTGTTTTTTTTTTTTGGGGTGATAATCTTACTAATATTATAAATGCGAAAGTTACGATGTTTGGATGTTTGTTAATCACTCCAAAACGGCTGGGCGGATTTTGATGAAATTTGGCACAGGCATAGAACACCCGGAATAGGACAGGGTTAGGCTACTTTTTCATTGTTAAATAATATGGTTTGCCTGGATAGAGTACCTGTCTGGCATAATATAAATTCTACCGTGTCATTACAGAAAATTGCTCCTACCAAGTTCTATATTATTTCTAGTACTAACAATAGTGACTATTCCTACGTTTTAATACTGGTTTTAATATTTTTGCTGTTTGCCGCATGAGGATTTGATTTTATATGCTTGTTGGCAGGTATCAGGTACCGATGTGTTTTCCCGTCTCGTCCCCATGATGGCCCACGAGGCGTCCTCAGTGTACTCCGAGGAGAAGGCACAGATGCTGCGCGGTATCGTCAGTATGGTGGAAGCCAAGAACACTGAGCTTACCGAGTTCATGTCCTCGTTGCAACTAGACCAGTTGGATGTCATCGATTCTGTTCAGAAGTAAGATTTTTGAGAGTTTAGTTGTTATATAAATATGAGAGTTGAGAGTTGATAATATATTTATATTTTCTGCTAATATTTAAGTAGTGTTTATATTTTCTGCTAATATAACAACAAAATGGTATTTATTTAGAATTTCATCTGGTAAATCCTTTTTGCATTTTTGTCAAGATGAATGAATGCGCCCCTGCTGAACTCCCCTCGGGTGCATCTCGGGAAAATCGCGCGAGCATTATTAATGTCAACTCGTTATTTAGATGTAGACCCACCATAGCAAAAACATGTTTTGTAGTATTAAAATAAATAAAAACAATAATTTTTTCTTCTGTTTTAGAGTGCCACAAGAGATCGTGGATCGCTGCGCCGCTATGAACGCCAAGTCTGAGATCATTCAGACGTTGGTGGATTCAATGAACAACCTCGCTGAGATCATCAGCGATGTCGAGGAAGCCTTGAGTGAAATCAAGGAAATTATACAGGTATTTTGGCCTTTTACCTTATTTGGTAGATCTCTCATATTTAGTTTAGGGGAGTGAAATCAGTTTATTTTTTGGAAATATATATGACGCCTTTTTAAATTTCAGACATTACAACCGGTTTTCGAAGGGCCGATCAATGTTAAAATCAATTTAACCTCTTGTCAAGTCATCTGATTGGTTGACTGAATAATCAACAACCATCTGATTGGTTGTTGATTAGTCTTGACAAGAGATTTAACAGGAGATTAATTAATTTTAGCATTAACACATTCAGTGCCCCCGACGCGTATGTGCGTGCGAGGAAACGCACATACGGGTCGGGGGCACTGAATGTGTTAACAAGCCTTTCAGAAACAAGTTGTTATAGTTTCGACGTTTACCGACCATTTGCGAATTGTTTCTTCGAAAAAATAATAAATGTTGGTTAAAAGATATATCAACATTTAAACATTTCTCCAAGCTTCTTACCAACCTAAATATATTTACTAGATTTTACAATTTGTCTGTTTATCCGTTACCAGGAGGAGGTGACGAAAGAAAAGGAATTCCAGAAAGTGATGGGTCCTCGTCCCCCTTCCATAATCCAAACAGAATTGTCCAGAGAGTACAACAAGTACCAGGAAGCTCACTCTCGCACTAACGAGAGTAACCAGGTGCTGCACAAAGCTATGACCCTGCATATTGCCAACCTGCGACTGTTAGCGCAGCCACTGGACCAACTCGCTGCCAAGATACCTAGCATTGATAATATAGGTGAGTGTTTTATGCTGTAGCATTACGGAAGAGGTGATTGTTTTTGAACAAGTCCCCTTGGTAAATAAACCATTTCAGCATTTTACAAAACGAAAAGGAAAAAGTTCTATCCTGAATGAATGCATAGTTTGTGTAATATCTGGGCAACTAGATTCCACTTAGGATCCATTGATCCTAAGTGTATTTGAATCAATATGTTTGTAAAATGCACATACGATATTTTTTTTGTAGGATATGTCGCCATATTTACATTTGTGTGTCGGCGTCGCTCATGGATACAACTAACACCTGAGGCACCAGAAGCACCAACACAATAGGCCGGCAATAAGTGCGTTGCCGGCCTATTGGGGATGCCATTCTTGTTGGGGTCACGGCGAAACACAATGAAATAATGATTGATTTGATTTAGAGATGAGAATTTCAAAGCTAAGAAACTTACACCCGGTTTCTGAAAGGTTTGTCAACGCTAAATTTAACTAATCTCCTGTTAAATCTCTTGTCATCTGATTGGTTGTTGATAATATAGTCAACCAATCAGATGACTTGACAAGAGATAAATTTTAACATTGATCGGCCTTTCGGAAACCGGGGTTTAGTGTTACTACTTTCTTTGGGATAGAATGTGGTCACAAGGAGAAGAGCTGGCTCAAGGCGGATTGGCGGTTTAAAACGTGACGCCATTTAGTAGTATCTTGGAATGCTTATATTATTTGATTTTTGTTTGCAGTGGGTCTTGACCGCGACACGATGGCGGAGATGCGCCGCGTGGTCGGCAAAGTGCGTGAGATGCAAACACAGCGAGACTCCCTCGTGCAGCAACTCAGGGAGGCCGTCACCAACGACGACATCACCTCGCAACTACTCGCCAGGAACAACGAGCCCAAGGAGGAGATATTCAAACAGGAGCTCAAGAAGCATACGCCTATGGTAAGTTATCATGAAACTAAGCTTTTTTATGTGATAGCGACCTATCACAGCAAACTGGCTGACGGATTACCTGGTGGTAAGCAATCACACCATGGATACTTGCAACACCAAAGGAGTTACTACATGTGCGTTGCCGACCTCTTGTGGGTTTTAGAGACTTAAGGATAGGGAATTTGAGGATTGAGGATTTGGGAGAAGGGTTGGGCCTCCGGTAACTCACGTGTTGCTTCACGTCGGTTTTCTGTAAGGCCGTGGTATCACTTAGGTCGAGACGGCCCATTCGTAGGCTGTATTTATGCGTACGTAAATTTTAATTTTTAATAGTCATTTGAATTGATATGTTTATGTAAGTAATATGTATGTGGCAAATTTACAAATTATTTGACATACGTTCTTTAGTAATAAGGAGTGATCGGAGTAGGTAGATTGATTTTTGGTACTTGTATCATAAATGCACACATAAAGAATATTAGAATAACATGGATAAGATTTTCCCGAAAAGTAATTCCGGTATTTCCGGATTAAATTAAATATTGTTAATGTTGGTAGTGATAATTTTCCTACTCAATTCAAAATTTAAAGGAAGGTATCAAAACTAAATTAATTCATTATTTATCTGTTGCATAATAAAAACAATCGAATTCCGATCGAAGCTTTAGCTTTATTTTTTTATTTTACCCTTTTATGGCTAGAACTTTTATAGATAGACATAAATTGTTGCACTTAAATTTAAATATTGTCATAGTGGTCACCAAAAGAATATGAAGAACAATAAAGAATAATATTGCTCATTTTATTACAATTCCTACCTTTTTTTGAGGATGGCATCATCAAATGACTCCTTCCACTCTAGCTGGCAGAATAAAATTCCTACATAAATTCTGGTTCATTTTTAATAATCCACCAATTCCGGGGGAATGTCCATATTCATATATACGTTTCAGATCAATGACCCCATTTCAATCTACCTACTCCGATCACTGGTAATAACCAACACAAAATCTTAATCTGCACTCAGTATGCCTATAAACTACAATATCAGTTATATCAGTTATAGAGTCTAAAATCATTTGTTTGTTGTAGATTCAAATAATCGAGGCTAACCTAGCAGCTCAAGAGAATATAATAAACAAACTGACGTCAGTGTATGCGTCGTACGGCGACTCCAGGCGGTTATTGTCCGATGTGCTGAGGAAACGAGAGGGACTTATAAATGGTGAGTGATTATTTTTTAATTATAATAATTATTATATAAGTTAATTTAAAAGAGTCAATTTTGTATCTGACAATTATTAGTGTGAACTTTTATTATTTTCATCTATTTTGTAAGTTTATTAAGACGTAAGCAGTATTCAAAAATAATATTTGTAAATTAAATTGCGCCTTTCTAACTTAACTTTAATCCTTTTTGTATTTCATACATATTTTCACATAATAATATTAACTCTTAAATTGAGTGGTTTCCTTAGTAGAAAGAAATATGTAATTTTGACATGTAAAAATACCTACTCAAAAATAATTACACTTTCAGTTACCGATTTGATATTATACTCAATTTTAACTAAAAATCGCGGGTTACTCACGTGTATAGTTGTAGTATATTGAGAAAAGCTCTACTAGTTTCGAACCACAGAGGGGTTTTTCCTCATGAGCAGCGTGCGCGGACGCGGCGACGTCGCGCAGCCTACTGAGTAACCCGCGATTTTTAGTTAATTTAGTATGTCTCACGATAGTTATTATACTCAATGTTCGTATTTTTCTATCTAATTTAATGGAAACGTGTATGGTATTTGAGGCAAAAGACTTGATATATCACAAGAATCTCATTGAAAATTGTATTATTTTTGGTCACGTTTCGAAATTACATAGAATTTGACAAATTAGTAAATTCTCTATTCTATCAGTGTACTTACGAATTATGTAGGTTAAAGTTTAACAAATCAAAAGTAAACTTCCGAACAGATTGTAAACGTGGAATATTGTTTCAGCACTGATAACATCGTACGACTCGTACACGGAGCTGCTGGGCAAGTCGACGAAGGGGTTGGAGTTCTACAAGAAGTTGTCGCACAACGTGTCGGCGCTGCTGGCGCGGATCCGGTCCACTGCGCAGGTACAGGGCGAGGAGAGGCAACAACTGCTCGCCGCGCCCACTGGGAACCGTACGTTACTGTACTTTGTACTCAAGCGGTATAGCGTTTTATACTATCGCCCGTTAGCCAGGAGCAAATATTAGAGATATATTTTTTTATAGTATATTTTTAATATGAATTGAAAATGTTGATGTATTGGTGGCTGGAGGAGGGGTCGCTAACCTGCAACTTCCCTCCTCCAGGCATCGCTTAAACTTGCAACTTCATATTATCAGTGTCTAAAAAAATATAAGAAAACATAAAAACTTTTATCTTACTGAGAATGAACCACTCTTATTTCTCCACCACCCAAAGGTACACTAGCAGAGAACGCCTAAGGCGTTAAGTCCGCCATTGTACATTGTGCAAGAAGGTTAAATAATAAATAAATGAGTTCAATCCACTGGTCTTCGGGGCACTAGAGAGAGGAATTTCAGACAATTCGCATCGCATTCGGAGTTTTGCTTTCTGCATCAGAGTTTTGACCCCAATTCTTATGAGTTTCATAGACCGCGAATCACAACGCAATCACATGTAAATCATCATCACCACTCACTCACTCACAATGATTTTGAGTTTAATATGTCTCTACAGCATCTACCCCCACCCCGACGTCGAGTCCGTCAGCAGGGCGGCTCAACGAGGCGGTGTCTGCCCCCGCGGCGGGGCCCGGGCCCACCGACGCCGGCCCTGCCATGGGACGGAAGCTCAAAGACTATCTGCCGTATATGAAGAACAGGGCCGGACGTACTGTTACACCGCAAGGTAAGAACTACAACCCTTTATTGAATAGAATTTAAAACTAAACTTTATTTTTAGAATAGTTTGTCTCATTTATGCATGTCTTTCGGTAGGCAGTTATTAATATTCTAGCATTCCAGTATTGAATTTTACTTAGTTTATTCAAACCTAAAATTGATGTCAGCAATCACTTGAGCTAAACACTAAGCTCAGTTATAATGATCACTTGAGTTCAAGATCATGTTTATCAATAATTGAATTTGTAATTTTATCTTGCAGCGCCAGTGGACCCCATTCCCATAGATTCTTACTATCCTGACAGCATATACCCTACTTCCGTACGACCTACACCAGTCGGCTCTGAAGGTATGTAAGAACATCGACAGAATCTAATAAACATTATGTACAATATAATTATCGTTTGAGGGGTGAGCTGTGTTGCTTCTTATATTAATGTAAAATATTATAAAATTTCTTCAATATATTTTCTATTTTACTACAAAACAAGTAAACACAGACCATCTCTAACCAAGCCCTATTTGTTTCAGCTACAGACGCAAGTCAGATGCAATTACCAGATGGCGTTGTAATGCCGCAGTTACAAGCCGTACCCAGTCCCTATGACCGTTACCTGTACGGTTCCACAGACACCGACCCTTACGGTATCCCTTCCAACTACCTATTCCCAGCTAACAACAAATTCGAGAAACCTCAAGAAGACCACAACTATGGATACACGGCCTACACACCGTCTCAATTCTCCGCCAATTCCTCCGAACAGCAAATTTACTCGAACCCTTACTACTCCAATTCTTACGGTCAGCACAATACTACCGTGGTCACAGACTCGCAAAACTTCTCCAATGTGAGTCACAATGTTCCTAACCAAGGTTATGAGCCCTACATGAACCCGATGGGTCCTATACCCGAGTCGTCTCTATCAGCTACGTCCGCCTACAGCTCCGGCAACCAAACCGAGATGATCACGAACTTCGCACAAATGCAGGTGTCAGTGCCGAAGTCCGAACCCGACTTCGGTGCAGATTATACGCAGACCTTCTACAGTGTACAGTACCCTAATGTATCGACTCCAGGTTCCGCCGCCTACACCAATGCGCCGCAGAACTCCAACACAAGTCTAACTCAGTCGCAGATCAACTCTGAGTACACCGCGCTGAACTACCCTTACAGTAGCGAGTCCACGCAGTACAGCCAGCAGGTCCCGTTCACGTCGGCCGACACGGGCTACAACTACGCCACTACATTCGCCTCCACCTCCCAGGGGTACACTTACACTAACGCAATCACTTCGACCACTTCGAGCATCGCCAACTCGAACCAGCTTCCGTATTCGTACTCGTCTGATGTAGACTCTGCCTACAATCCAGGTTTATCTCAATTAGACGCCTTCGACAAACCGATAAAGTCTCACACCACAGGCGAAGCTCTCTCCAACTCCAGCTTCCAACCTTCCTACCAGAACTACAGCTCCACCGCAACCAATTACACAAGCCAACCTGAGCCGTATAACCCAACCAGTACCTATGGTTATGTTGATCAAACCAACCCTAATTATGCACAATCCTTCCAAAACCACCCGGGTTATAACTACAACTCTGCAACAGGCAACTATGAGTACAGTTTTGGTTCACAAAATTCCTTTTCTGGCTTCGATAACACAGTGCCAGACAGTGCTAACTATCAGCCGGCGGAGAAGGACCAGAGTTGGGGCCAACAAGCCATTTACACTAATGCTGGGAACATTGGTACATGCGAGACTGTGCAATCTCCTACTGATAGCTCACAGATAGTGCCACAAATGCCTGCAAATCATCAAATTCCCTCTCAACAACAAATGCCCGGACAGCAACAAATGCCCGGACAGCAACAAGTGCCCGGACAGCAACAAGTGCCCATACAGCAACAAATACCCGGACTGCAACAAGTACCCGGACAGCAACAAGTACCCGGACAGCAACAAGTACCCGGACAACAACAAGTACCCGGACAGCAACAAGTGCCCGGACAGCAACAAGTGCCCATACAGCAACAAATACCCGGACTGCAACAAGTACCCGGACAGCAACAAGTACCCGGACAGCAACAAGTACCCGGACAACAACAAGTACCCGGACAGCAACAAGTACCCGGACAGCAACAACTACCTGGGCAGCAACAACTGCCTGGACAACAACCAATTGACTCTCAGATCTATTACAACAGTGCTTACGGGTACCAGGCGGCTATAACACCGTCTCAGGAGGCATCGGATCTCCAGGTCGCCAATAACTACGTTCCGAATGTAAACCAGGCTGGGTATGTGACGTCCCATACTAACCAAACAGGGTATACTGCGAGTAATACGAACCAGACTGAGTACGTAGCAAGCAATCCGAGTCAGGTACCTTACGTACCTTCTAACTCTAGCAGCAACAGCCAGGCTGGGTACATGACACCAAACACCAGCCAACCTGGATACGCGACCCCTAACACCAGTCAGATGGGATACGTACAGCCTACACAAGACCATCGCGTCCCGTACAATACCAATCAAGGTAAGATTTTATGAGTAATTTGTACCAAAGATTATTGTAACATTTATTTGTCGAATAAACGGATTTAAAATAAAAAGGAATTTCATTAACCATTGCAGTGCCGACAGAGAATCAGAGTGTGAATGAGCAAAAGTTAGAGAGTAATACTAAAGTAGATAGTCAAACAGCGAGTGACGAACAGACTGTACCCGAAAAGGCAGCGGTTGAAGTTCATAAGAATCCGGAGGTCAAATCAGAGTTGACGGCTTTTGACCTATTGTCCGATATAGATTTTTCCGTAGAACAAACTCCGTTAATGCCGGAGATCAAAGTCCCGCAGATATCTGAAAGCGCTATTCGGAAGCCCGTAGCCCCTAAAATCGAGCCTGAAAAAAAGGTCCCAGTAAAGGAGGAGGTTATTGAGAGACCTGCAAAAAAGGACCTGTTTTCTGACCCTAGTTTGCTGAACAATTTTACTCAGGAAGTGAAGAATTTGCAGAAATTGACTGATTCCTTGACTGATAAGTCGCCGAGTGGTTTGACTGTTTTAGACGCTAAATGGAAGTCGTTCCAGGATTTCCAGGTAAGTAAACATTCTTACTTTTTGTTTTATTTGTTTTGCTATCACCATATTCGGATACATGCTTTTGTGGGATTTTTGTTTGCTTTGCATATAGTCATTATACTAACATTTCTAATGTATTATTTTGCCACCTGCGTTTTCTTCTTTCTCTTTCAAAAACTTAATTAATACTTAAAATGTTTTACTAATAATAATATTTTTGATATCTTTAGTCCCTCATGTATAACGAAGGGTCAAAAGTGTTTGTACTTATTTCCCTCTATATCTCTACAGAGCAACGCCTGTTCGTCATCACACAGACTTCCCTATATCCAGACACTACCTGACTACTTTAGCGTTGCTATGCGCTTTGCACGGTGGCAGCTAGGCTAGATTTGCCATTTCTATACTATGGGCACGCAACTTTGGAGTATTTTTTTCAGTTTCGGAAAATCTAAATTAAAATTCAGAAATTGTACCTGTACCAGGCCCTTAGCCAATGATTGAGTAAAGTAGACAAATAATAATATAATTCTTTAATAAAACGACCAGAATTCATGTAACACGCTTGGGTAACTACCCAGTGACCTGTAAATTAATTATGGTTATTTTATTTTTTAGACCAAGCAAAACATGACGAGGTCCAAGACCATAGCGATGCAGCATATTAACGGCAATATAGTGACGGAAGTAGTGCCTTTCGATGACTCCCGCCTCACGCTCAAGTCTGATCCCGATGCCTTCATCAACGCCTCTTATTATAAGGTAAGATAATCTTTAACAGCACCTTTTTATTACATTTTATGGTTAACACGCGTACTCGTGTAACTCTCAGTTGTATGCGCTACGCGATGCTGCTCATGATTATGAGCCCCTGGCTTTAATTGAAACTAGTCGAGTTACGACGTCAAATAGTTTCGTGAATTGCCCGTAGAACATAATTCATAAATCTCATGAGATTTTAGTCTTCAGTAGTAAATGACAACCAACATAAAAGCTAGAGAGGGTGTCTAGATACTCTTAAAACTTTTTTTGGAAATCTGTTCAAAAATTTTCGTTTTGAAATTCAAATGTGAAATGTTTATTTATATTTGTTACAGCAACTAGCCTCATGGTGCATTCCACTAGTGATATCAAAGAACCCGACTGAGTCTGAATACGGCGTTTTCTGGAAAGCAGTGTTAGAGAATAAAATTAGCTGTATTGCTTGTTTGCTTAGTGAAATCGAGGTAAGGATCATATTTAATTACTAGTACCCAAAGTTTTAAACCAACAAAGTCATTATTTGTTCTTTCTTACTTTTATTATGTCAATTATCGGCAAACGATCAGATAGATTACCTGATGGTATGCAATCGGCGCCGCCCATGGACACACGTAATACCAAAGGAGTTATTACAAGTGCGTTGCTGGCATCTTGTGGGCTGTTAGGGATAGGGTATTTTAGGGCTGATGTTCAGGCCAGGCTGCAAGGTAAGCGCAATGAGGCACCGCGACCCTGCCCAGAGCAGGAGAAGGAACGAGGGTTTGAGACTCCGTCCCCCCCAACCTTGGGTGGTAAAGGCATTGGATGATTATCCCCTCACAATAAAAAGGGATAGGGGATTTGAGGACAGATGATGCAGGGACGAAAGATTGAGCCTGCGGTGACCTTACTCACATGGCGGAACAACGTAAGTTTTGTTTGACGCCGGTTTTCTGTCAAGCCGGCCCATTCGTGCCGAAGAATTCTCCATTACGGATTTATAATAAACATAGGTTTGCCACCTTGGCCTTTAGTTCCCACTTACTCAAATTCTTTACTAAATTCTGATGCTTTACCAGATGCAAGGCAAGACGTACTGGCCGACAGCTAAAGGCCAATCCCTAGAGCTCTCCGGTCTGAAGGTGACCTTGGACGAGGTGACGTGCACCGTGCACTGGACTGAGAGGAAGCTGACGGTGGCCGGCGGCAAGACTGTGCTCAATGTCACACACTACCAGATCAATGTGTGGCCTGCTAAGTGAGTCATTTATAATACCTTATAGATCTTCTAACACTTGAAAACCCAATATTACTTTGCTTGCCACCCTAATCTATACTAATATTATAAAGCTGAAAAGTTTGTTTGTTTGTTTAAACGCGTTAATCTCCGTCGCTACTGGTTCGAATTGAACAATTCTTTTTGTGTTTGTTAGTCAATAAAACATCACGCTACGATCTCTAGGAGTCGAGCAGCGAGTAAAACCGCGCGGGAGTAGCTAATATAAAATATGAGTTTTCATTAACTCTACTTAACTCCGTTATAATGTCTTTTATTTATTTTTTCTTCCCACAGGATCGTATGCTCTCCCTTAGTTCTCCTAGCAGACAAGATCCTAAGTCAAACATACGACAATAAGCTGTCGAACCAGCTGTGTGGAGGCTGGCTACAGTGCGGGGCGGGGGCTGGTCGGAGCGCCGTGCTAGCACTGTTACTAATGGTCATGTGCCAAGTCAGGGCTGGCCAGCTGGAACTGTGTGGTGAGTGATATTGTGATAGCTTTTATCGTGGCTTCTTTGTCTCAATAATAACCTTGAAGTCTTTTACAAATACACAAGCTCGTGAGGATGTTTGTTACAAGCTCCGCCAAAACTGGTGTAGGGATAGATATAACAGAAAAAAAGAAAAAACCAGAAGCTAGTAATTTATAGACCAGAGGAGGGCGAGATTTTTATTTAGTTGTGTTGTGCTTATTTTGAGAGGAACATCATCAAATGATTTCTCTCACTCTGCGTGCTGCCAGAGGAAGTGTCAGATTTCTTTCTTTTTGACTAAAACGTACACGTCCTTTCTTGCAAAAGTCTGGAGTATGTTCCAATAGTTCAGTCTGTGGTTAATGTGTAGTGTCATAACCAACTTAGGAACCCCAAACAATAATTGTACATTGTGAAACAGGTCCTTCCGATGCACTGCAAATTAATAAAAATCATTATCCACAGATATGTTAGACGCGGGCTGCTTGAACCTCTACACACATAGGAGCAACGTGCTTGAAGATACCAAGTATCTCGCTGACGCCTATAGAACTGCTTTATTCTACGTTCAGGGAGTTCTCTGTTCTGGTGAGTCTATTGTATTAATAATTATGTCTAATGAAACGACGGGCGTTCATGTAACTATTGGACAAGGGTCTCTACATAAGTCACGTCGGGGGCTTTCATATTTTTGAATAAAATTGTGCGACACACTAAACTACTGAACATTGGCTAAATTTGTCGCGCAACATATAAAATGAACCATATGCGCAAAACCTCGCAACGTTCTAAGCAATTGCGCAATATGTTGCTTGTTTCGGCACAACATGACTTTCGCATATTGTTGTTTTGCTATAACCAAGAATTTGATTGTGAAATCAATTGAAAAAAGGGGAAACCGCGCGGTTTTTCACATTCTTCTCCATAGGAATATACACTTTGGAACGATAAAATAGTTTCAATAGAGGATTGACTGATTTTATTTTGAGTATGTTACCGCAAAGATACGAGGCTTTAGTATTTCTTATCAAAGAAGATGCATTAAGTACTTATAGGATTAGGTAATACAATATTGGATAACTATCATTGCATCAGTGCTCTATTTAGTCAATATCCTTTCGTTCAAATATGTCCAAACAGCGGTTTCTTTGCACTTATCTTCATAATACAGTGGATTACAAAAAATGCCTTACTCATTACATATATCTAATCTACATTTACTTTACCTCAAGTGTTTAATATATTAATAAATAAATAGTCTGTAGTTTACTTTGAGAATTAGATAACTAGCCGGCGGAGAATTTTCTTTGAGAAAACAGATGATACTTAGTAAAAGTATGTTTGTGTGAAATTTCCCCCATGAAGGAATATTTCTTAAGAATTGTGACACACTAAATGTCAATATTTTTCTTGTTAGAATCACGCTACTTAATGTGTATTTGTAAGTGAAGGAACATTTGTATCTGCACAGTTTAAAGTGTGGGGCAACCATACTTCAGTACGAATAGGTCGGCTCCACAGGAGTGTTATCACGGCTTCACAGAAAACTGGCGTGAAACAATCATAGTGTTTTGTTTCGTCGTGTCAGTGAGGTTAACATAGGCCCTAATCTTCCCCTTCCCCTTCCCACATCCTTCCCCAATCCCTAAATCCCCAAAACACCTTTTCCCCTAAACCCTTTATCCCTTATCCTAACCGCAGGCAACCCCTAAAGGCAGGCAACCCCTAAAGGTAGGCAACTTATTTCCAATTCTATTTCATTGTAGAGGATATCTATGGGCGGCGACGATTACTTACCATATCCGAACACTTTTGTGCCGAGTATCTCATTAAAAACAGTTGACTAGACCCAGGCTGGTCATCTGGCTGCTGTTAAACGAGTCGCGTACAAATCGTCTGACGGTACCCAATCGGTGCTCTCTCGCGGACATCCAAAGATGTTACAAGTGCGTTACCGACCTTTTACTAATTGAGCATCCGGATCCTGATTAGTTATTTGATGATTGAGGATAGAATCGTGGAGGATTGGGCCTCAGGTAACCTCTATCACACTACGAAGCACCAACGCAAACATTGTTTCACGCCACGGTTTGGTGTGTTATTAAGAGGTAATGGTCCTCGCAATATAGTTTGCATATAATAAGTATGCGAATTTGCAAGACAATAACCATAAGCGGAAATAAATATTGATTCATGCATAATATCGCTTCTTTAGACAAAACAAATAAAATAAAAAAAAACTGCCTTGGATATCAAGTTACTGCATATAGGTTAATCGTTCTGCCCAACCCTACTATTATCTACTAATTGGATCTGCACACTTTGAGCTAAGCTGTGTGACGCACAAGATAATATATCGATTGCTAAGAAAGTATTAAATGCACTTTTTTAGAATAAATATAATATACGCAGTTATACTAGTTACACTACGGGTGCGTTTGTAATCACTCAATTTTACCTATGAACCGCAACTGTAAATTTTAGGTACTATTAAAAGCGTTATTGCTCTTGTATATAAATGAAAACGAATCATTAGGGTAGCAATGAATTAAAGATCAACAAAAAAAATATTGCTAAGAATCTTTAAACTTATTTTTCTTTATATTTTAATAAATTATTATAAGATATTGTTTATTATTATATGGCACAAAAATATGCAATGTTGCATGCAAAATTCTTAAAAAAAAACAAAACTAAGAAGGATTGTATTTAAACTAGTCGCATACTAGATAAACCAGTCATTTACCGAATTGTACTCAAAATCTTGCTAGGTAGTCTTGTAAGGTACTCGAGCACGTGGCAGACCACGATACAAATAAACATGTTAATTATCATTAACAGTAATTAATCTGTAGGTATGATTCATTATTGTTTATTATTTATCAAAGGTTTACGTGATTATAAGTAACGATAGTAATCTATAAATAGAAATTAGTATTTTTCCCACTGTTAATAAGTTGAGAACTAATGGTAACACATTTGTAAATAGACTCGAATCCAAAGAAATAAAGACATAAATAACTTAATTATCATCAACCTTTGAACTCCATTCTAACAATTATTATAAACTAGCTACTAGGTACCGCATGGTTTTAGCTGCTGTTCTCCTCCTTTTGGTCGTACAGTTATGGTTTGTAGTGCACCTATACTCGGAATTTTAATTCCATTCCAGATTTGACAATTTCAGTGTTGCAACGTTATGACACGTAATAAATAGTGACGTTGCGAAATTATTCGATATGGAAATCGATTTTTTCTGAATCGATTCCTCTCGTAAACTAAGTTTATCAGGAAATAAAATATTTTTGAACCGATAATTTAGTTTTGACAATTAATTAACGATCTGAGACTTTTCTTTTGTAATTGTGTGTGAAATCAATAAAAAATGTGATCATGAAGGAACGTGACAAATAAAACAGACATTTTATAAATTGTCGCCGTCATCGCTATCGCTATCGCCGTTACTCCATGTAACAATTATCATGAATTGTGTCTTTGATATTTATTGTCAATTAACATATCTAGCTTACTAATTTTTTCCTCTTCTTTGAAAACATGGGATAGACATTTAGACCATTCGGTAGCCGTAATTTTTTGAATGCCTTCCTGAAACTGATTCACTGATTGTTTATCGATTTTTGTGTTCATCACTACATTGTTATATGTGGTATCATTATTTCACAAAATGACAATAGGTCATGTCAAATCAGGAATCGAATTAAAAGTCTGACTATAGATAAATGGTTTATCAAAAGTCAAAGTCAAGATCATTTATTCCAATTAGATTAGAGCCTTGCTTACTTTTGAACGTCAAACAAAATTTAAAGATAAAAAGTTTTGATCTGTCAGTCAGCTGTCTTATTGAAGCTATTTATTCGGTCCAAAATGTAGATTTCAAAGAGGAAGGACGAGCAAAAAACTGCATGGTTACTCTTTTTAAATCAGTAACAGATCTCTGGTACATTAAGTTGATTCGATTTTGTGAGAATAGTCTAACAATAATATTTATTCATATAAACAAAAAGAATATTATGTTTTAAGAAAAAAAAATCTCGAAATTTATATACATAGCATACATATTATATTTGGGAGTCCGGAGAAGATTAGCAATATGAGATTTTTCAAAAAATCCTGATTGGATGAATTGGTAATTTGGTAGAATAAGCATGCGCTTATTTTTTATTGGGGGTTATCGAGCATGAGAGAAGAAGCAGACAAGATTAGACCTCCTGTAACCTTCCTCACACGTTAGGTGAAAAACAACATAAGCGTTGTTTCACGCCGGGTGAATATGGCTATAATTTCTTAACTTGTTCTTTTCTATTCTAAAGGTACAACAATGTTTAACGGCGAGGCGGTTTCTCTACCATCGGGAGCAGCAGTACTACCTCCGGTAACTCCTACTCCAACGAGCGCTTCTAACGCTAGCCAGAAAACAACTAAATTCTCACGCGAATCCTTCGAAGAAATGAAACAGTCCCCTGGACTGAAAAGTGGAGATATGAAGGATCCTCTTAATTTCCTCGATCCACTCTGGAGCTTAAAAAAGAAGTGAGGTGCTTTCCTTTGGTCGTTTCCAAACGATTTAGTGGTTTATGACGTCAGGAGTCAGTGATACTCAACCTTCGGGCCTCATTTTGGATCTCAAGATGTAATGCAGTATTGTCAAAATGTTCGCTCGTGTTGCGGCCCTCGATGATGTAAGGTTGAGTACCCCTGCAGTAGATAGAGTATTGGACAAAATTATAGTACCTACTTTTATGTGATTCTCTTCTCAAACACGAAGTGCCGATTGTTTTTGAAATGTTATTTTAGACTTAATGCTATTGCGTGTTTCTTATAAAAATAATTTTCGTGGTGTCTATAAGGGCGAAATGGAATATTCAAATTATAGTAAGATATTTTTCTTATAAGATAGATTTCATTACATAAATTAATTCCACGTTTATTATTATTTATTTTATATAATTCTGTAGATAGAGTTTTATTGTATTTCGCATTTAAATTGACATTAGCATATCGCAATCACTACGTATGGAATTTGTACCGACGTCGATAACACGAAGAAATCAAAGGATTTTCAGTTCTTACCAAGGATTAAAGATATCAACATATTTTAATTATCAGTGGTGAATATATTAGAAAGAAATTTTGTGAAATCCCTGGTAAAATGTACCTATAAACTTACCTACACACAAATTCACCGAATTTCCGAAAGTATTATTTATTTGTATTAGATAGGGCTTTGTATTATGTATTTCTTAAATAAAATCTTATTATCTTTATAATTAATTGTATAACATGGCTTACGTAACAATTCGAGCTTGCTCGACTAGTTTCAAGCCACGGCCGGGGTTCAACGGCTTTATGTGTAAAAAATAAGTATGTCTGTAATTAACAAAAGCATCATTGTTCTCATTGTTTTGGATAAATTAGGGGATATATTATTCTATTGCAAAAAATCCGTCGTTTAACATTTAAAGTTACATTATGATGATGATCAAGAGATTGAGATTTTTAAAGGCTTAAGATAAATATTTTGAGTTTTGCCATAAAAAGACATTGGAATCGTTTCTGTATCCTGCTTTGTGCCATTATATGTATGAAAAAGACATAAAAAATAAAATAATTTGTATAAAATTTTCAAATATTAGATGCATAATGTTTCATACCGTTTTAAATGAATTTTCATAAATAAATAAGTATTGGTAATTGGTATTAAGATGAACTGATTTTGTAAGCTATGCCCGGAAATTATGTTAATAACGTATTATTTTCCATACATCTCCGTAACGTATTATTAGCACAACATAATATTGGTAACAACATTAATGACATTCCTTGTTCATTTATTTTAATTAAAGAACATATTAATTACGTAATTTCTATGTAAGTGTTAAAATTTAAACAATGTTGATATTATCAATCGGATTTGAACCATGCACTACTGGTATAGTAAGCAATAGACATGCACCGACAAATATCAATATTGTCAATTTTATAGTTTTTACATCTAGTAGGTAAATTATGGTAATTTAATAATTAAAGCAGCTTTATCAATTGTTCGAACATTATTATTGAAAGTTATTTCACAAATACATTATAAAAGTTAATTTTGTATTATTACTTATAAAGTGTAACGAATATTTAATACGCGTAGTTGATATTCATAGCATTATACTCAAATAAAATTATTTGGACTGACTACCTTTGTTTTATTACAAGGAATCCATTTCCATATCTCGAGTTTGTGATATAATCGCTTTGCTTATATCTTATCTAGGATACCGATTTATGGAGACGGATATTAGCTACTTATTGCTACCCTGACTGAAGTATTGGGGGGTTTGTTAGTGAAATAGGAAAAGCTGGGAAACTAGGAAGTGGTTCCGGGGTAGGGCGCATGTTGTCGCGGAGGCTGCGGGCCGCGCGGCCGGCCGGCCGCCGCCAGTCCGCGCCGAGCCTCCGTCGCCGCGCTACGTGTCACGTGGCGCCACTGCTGCCGCGCACGCGCGAACGCGATCGAAACATCAAAACATAACAAAAAAAAATTTCACGCCACCCACTTGCCAACGAAAATTGACAGTGACGTTTCGGGGGGAGCACGGTGACAATAACACGCATTCGTATTATGTAGTTTACAAAAATTATTTACGTGAAACAGTGAAAAATTTTCAGTGGTACGATCAACTGGTGAATTTTGTGCGATCAATTGGTGTCGCAGTGGTTGTGTTCAGTTCCGACGATGGATAGTGGCAGCCCGGCAGGTTAGGCGTGATGATGCGCAAAGAGAACGCCGGCGCTCCCGGCGGGACCGAGTTCTCGCTGGACGCGTCCGACTGCATAACGCTGCAGCAGATCCTGCAGGCCTTCAACTCCACCATTAGCGAGGAGCATGCATGGGCCCTGTTCTATCAGGCGGCGCGCTGCTTCCAGAAGTGCATGGCGGAGGGGGCCACCTGTTACCTGGCCACCGAGCCCCGCCATGTGCTGCTGCACAAGGACGGCACCGTACACCCCACAACGCTGCTGCATCCAGGAGGTCAGTTTACTCCCCACATACTTTAGCCTAGCTAATTTATATTGACGAGTAATACGAGTGTGATGAACTTAGATAACTTCTTTATTATTTTATTACACAATTTATAGATGACTAAAACTATGCTTTATCAGACACGTCAATAAGTGTTTATCACCAAACTAAAACAGTGATAACAGCAGTAGGTACTTACTTACTTAATTTATTTGTTTAATTAATAAAACATTGGCTATTCATTATTGTGTAGCGAGCTGCTTTCCATGCTAATCATTTTGTTTTATCAGGTAGGTAGAAAATGTTTTGGCGTATTAGTGACCTTGTGTTATCAGTGGAGTTGCATCAACAGCGTGAAGTGGCTATTGTAGCGAATGAGCACTCCACTCGCAATTATTTAAATCGGACTTTTTATTCGATTACACGTGACTTATCAAGTTCACTAACAGCTCATTATTTAAAAAACCCTGGTCCAATTTATTTTCACTGGTTTTTGCACTTTTTATCTAGAATACTTTAACTCCCGCTGTACGCAAATTATCAATAGATTCACTATCGAATCAAAATTCCCCAGTGTGGGCAAGTGCGGGCAATATTTTATACATTATCGTAGAACTCGCAAATTATTTCCCCATCTTCCTTCACGACCGCGACGTTGGTACCCGGAAAGATTGGCGTCCGATACTCTGTACTATAGCATTCTAATAATCATGCACGCCATAGTTAAGATAGCATAGTCTCGCATAAAACCGCCACGGACGGGGCTATCTTAGCATTCTTACGTCGTATCAAAGCATTCATCTATATTTTACGAAGCCCTAAGATTATTAAGTCCATTGGAATTTGTATATGTGAAGAAACTCATTGATTGGATTAGCTGCGGTCAGCAATTTCTGGGTTCAGGGATGCTCTGTTATCTGTATAACAGCTTATGAATGGGAAGAATATAAACCCTTCCAAGTTAGCTGGCCTTGCTTTCTTTTATTGCTATGTATGATAATTTATCATCGTGTAAACTTGAGCTAACAGACCTACCGCGTCGCTAATAATTTTGTTGTGTTTACTCGTTATTGAATTAGGAAGGCTCCATCCTTCATTTTCGCTAACAAGACCGCGAATTTGATATTGAATTAATTGAATAAGCCCGTTAAAAAGTCAAGTTCAAAGAAAGATTGTGATAGTATCCAGATGTTCTTGTTCAACTGACCCTAATTATTATACCAGACTCCTAAGAAGGAAGTTTAGGATTTTGTTTAATGTAATTAAACTACTGTGCTATTGAACAGATTTAGAATTTAGGAAATAGATATACGATGGAATAGTTTTTTAAAGTATTAACAAGGTAGGGCGTTTGAAGCCTCACATAAATAAGCAAATGAGGCAATTCATGAGTTCATATCATGGCTTTACATGCCAGTCATTGCTCCCATTTCTAGTTGGCACAATATTTTCTATAACACAAAACAAGTCCGTATGAATAACTCAAAGAAACAGCTCGGTATCGATCCGCGCTTTCTCGTAAATGTTCCTATTTCCATTTACGTTTTCACGATTCACGTACTACGTTAGACAGGCGTCCGTGGCCCTTACACGTTTGTTTTACGTGTTATATAGCTGTTTACTTCTGTAGGTTCAACTTTGACTGAACTTGAGATTAAAGTACATATCTATCGGAGATAGTGAATGGATTCACTGATTACTTTTACAAGCTTTAAGAGCAGTGTGGATAAAATTGGAGAAATGGGAGATATGTAGAATTTATTCTTACATATTATACATAATATATGTACATATCTATACGTTTTATTGTTTGGTATGCGACGCATTAGCTAGTTGTATCATAAATAAATATCCATTAGTAGGTGACCCCGTGAACTTCGAACCGCAAAATCAATAAAAGTTCGGTTGAAAACGATTTTATTTCATCGCGATTTTTTGCAATATTTTTTACAGTCATCTGTTTTTAAGGGTAATTCTACAAGTTCAAGAGTAGGAAAATAGGTCTCAGAAATATTGCGGACGTGTTTTCGGTGGAAGACAATGACTATACGCTTGATATACTAGTAACTTCCCATTGAACTCTTTGAAGTAAGTTGGAAACAAATCTGTAGTTCAAAACAAAAACAGTTGGGGCATAAAATGGCGTTGAAAGAACTAACAGGATTAGCCATGCGACCCATGCCTCGTCTTTCCAAGCATTCATAACAGCTACGTGACTTTATGCATGTTAAATTTAGCGTCAAAATATAATTAGTGGCTTTCCAAGCCCTGTATATGTTCATATGTATGTAAAGTAAAATTTTCTTATTTATAGAACTAGGCAAAGTATCACCAGCTGTAAACAATAAAGTTTGAAATTGTCATTCGCTATTTTAAAAGGATCAGGACGATTTAAGTTTATTGTATTTAATGTAAAGAGAAGCAAAATTCCGTTACCAAAAAATCACCATTACGACAAACTGATTTTCTGCTGATCTTCATCTAAAAAAAATAGATAACTTCTAGCAATTTCATAAATATAATAAATAACGAAAGCTATAATGCTAGGAAATCTATCTCATAGTCAATACACTAGAACAGACGCAGATATCAAATGCCTAATCAAAATGTATTGAAAACTAGTCCAGGTTCACATCACTCAAGGACCTGGGTAGCATTTCCATAACGCCTTCACACAAACATAACTGATTCCAGCGATTGCTAGGTGTCCGTTTTCATGTACTTCGAAATTCTAGACCTAATAGCGAATAGGCGCCATGCCTTATCGCACCTTTTAACTTTAGTACCGTGGTCTTTTTACAAGCTTCCTGGAATACTCATATCAACATGTTATAATGGTTGTTATTAAAAGAGCTAAAGTTACTGGGCAAAGTGCGAGGTGAAACTATTTAGGTATGTGAGGAAGTAGGTAACTACCTAACATAATATTACGAAAAACTAGTCGATCATACTTTTTTGCCATCGACAAGGTAAATCAAAAACTGACCTCGTTTTAATCACAGATGATCATGTAAACACGAAAAATGGTGTTGTTCATAAATCTTCCTGGCGACCTTTCACGGCACTTACACTAAAAGACATGACCTTCCCATTTGCATAAAAGAAAAACATGCACAGCTGACCTTGAACACTAGGAAAACGTCGTGCTACATTTTCCCGGCGACCTTTGCAGAATAAAACAGCTTCGTGGTGTATTATTGTCGTATTAATCACTGACAGCTGGTCATAACCCTCTGCGGCCGCACATAAAATATCGCGCCGCAGGTTGAGAGCCACTGGGGCAGCCCGAATGTACCCGACGCGGTCACACCAATCATTGCTGACAGCACTCATACGTTGTATTGCCTTGCAATTTAAGCGATTTTGCATGCATGTTTCTATTAGGCTATTTACTGCTGACCCATATTCATAGAATACTGCTAACAAGACCGATCTAATGCAGTGACAAGTTTTTTTTAGTTATTCGAGATATTAACAATCGATATTGAATCGATTATTACACAACATTTGTAATCGATTTTCTGATGATAATTAGTTACGGTATTTTTTAGGTTAAGGAGTCAATTAAGTCATTATTAGGATTTTTCGCTAGAATGTCGCGGTTCTTTTTCAGTCTTTTTGGTTTATGTATTACCTATAGACTTTGTAGTCTTTTGTAAGTTTTGCCCTTGAGTCTGTTACCTTTATCATCTATAATGTTATGTAACTCAATTTTTTTACAGGTTATGTAGAAAAAAATATTTAAATTCGGGTCATCTGTCTGCCTTTTCGCTTCCCATTACGTTTCGTATTTTCGAGTTTTGTAAAGATAAGGCTGCATAGTGTATCAAGCGTAACCGTCCTCCAGTCAAACGATGCAGCAATATTTATTGCAGATACACTCAATTTGCGCCTGTCACTTATCGATCCCAGATGTAACAGTGTCGAGCCAATTGGTTAACAAACGAACACAGCTGTGTGTAAATAGGTTAATCAAAACACATTACTACCTCCAGCTGCTTTCAAGCGCTTTCTTTTTTAAGGACTTTTTGGACGATTTGCGATTTACTTTAAAGTATTGGAAATGATAGAGTCCTTATCATTGGAGAACCCGTATATTTGTATTCATAGAATGAAACTAGTTTTATCTTTGACTTTGTTTAGATAATTATAATTGGCTTATATTGTATTGGTCACTATACTCGAGGATCACGTAACATTTTGCGGTTATTGAAATTTGTTTTAGCATTTTTTATCATCTGTCTAATTTAGCGTGAAGCCTAAAAATATACTGAATCATTAACCAGATTAGTTTGTGACAGACAAAGACTAAGTACCGTATGTTCAAGGTTGCATAATAATTCGGTAACTAGGTGTTATTTACGTCTAGTGGGAGTTATTACTTAATAAGTAAAAATGAAGGTATATGCAATTAATTACCGCGGCTCAGTTTTGAGCAGGAGAAGGAATATTCGGAGCGGGGTGGTTTTTGGCCAGTGTCTGACAACTAGGGTGGAAAGAGACATTAGATAATTTTCTAACTTTACAATGGAGTGTTCTCATGGATCTTACTTCTTACTCATATTATAAACGCGAAAGTAATGATGTTTGGATGTTTGTTACTCAATCACGCCAAAACGGCTGGACGGATCTGGATGAAATTTGGCACAGGCATAGGATACACTCCTGAAAAGAACATAGGCTTTTTATCACATATAACGCAGGTGAAGCCTTAAAAAAAGGTTTAAAAAAAGGATTATCTACATTATATTAGCCTTTTATGCCGTCAATCCCATAAAGAAATGTAAATGTCAGGTATATGTAGGTGCGATTTTATTTTATTAGTGGTTAGCGTTGCGCGGTTCTGTATTGATCGTAACCGGCTTATTGTCACGCGATTTTTGAACTTAAAACTTCATAAGAACGTTGAGCATGTTATTTGAAAACTAGGAATATTATTTTGAAGTAAATTATATTATTAAGTATATCGATGACTTAAGTAGTATGTTATTGGGCATTCTATTCCACTA